AATTAGGATCAACCAGATAGGGTTGGTTCCTCCTGAGATCAGTAAGCGACTGCTTTGCCCTGACTTCTCTTCTTGGCTTGTGGATGGCTGTCTTCCTGTGTTTTCACATGTTCTCTTTACATGTGGTGTTGACTAAATGTCCTCGTCTTAGTCATATTGGATTAGGACCCATCCTAATGACTTCATTTTAACTTAATAACTTCTATAAAAATCTTGTCTCCAGATACCATCACATTCTGAGCAACTAGATGTTAAGACTTCAGCATAAGAATTTTGGAGAGGAGAGACAACTCAGCCCCTCACGGGGTAGGGGGACAGACTGCAGGATCTTATTTCCAAAGGTGGAAGAGGAATGATAGGGAAAGGAATAGGAGATGAAGATGTCCACAAAAGTAGTGGTTGGCTAGCTAGGTCTTTGAAGCTGGAGAGGTAAATTGAGACCGTGAGGACCAGCACCAGCCTGAGGGCACCTACTAGTTGGTAACAGAGACAGTTTAACAAGGCTGACTCCTGCCCTCACGTCTGAGCTCCAAGAGAAATCTGGGGATGTGCCATGAGTCCTCAGGAAGCTCACAGCATCCTTTTTGTGGACATAGAACAGATGGGACGTGGTGTTCTCTGTGCTCAGCAGAGGGAGGGCACAGGCAGCCAGCAAGGCCCTGCGTCACAGCCTCTCCGGAGGGTGACAGGCAGATGGCCGCCTCCGAGGAGCAAGAGGGCACTGTTAAGACATCAACCTGTCCAAGAAAGCACCATTTAACCAAAAAAAAAAAAAAAAAAAAAAAGGGGGGCTGGGGATTTAGCTCAGCGGCAAAAGCGCCTGCCTGGCAAGCGCAAGGTCGTGAGTTCAGTTCCCGGTACCGGAGAAAAACCAAAAAAAAAAAAAAAAAAAAAAGAAAGCACCATTCACTGGGAAGGGCTGAAGCCTTCGTTTTGGTGGTGGTGATGGGTGGTCAGCCACATTAGCACAGACCCTGAGAGCTGGGCCATGATGTAAAACACATCAGCCCAGCAGAGGATGACAATCTTGTGCAGCAGACTGTTAACCACACTCAAGTCTGGCCTCCAATTGTTTTTATGAGCAAAGCTGTACTGGAACTCAGCCATGCCTGTTCATTTCCATATTGTCTGCGGTTGCTTTCACAGTAATACAGGGGCTGTGCTGAGTATTTGACGAAGATCGTATCATCCACAAAGCAGCAAAAGTTTACTTTTCAGATGTTTACAGCAAAATGGCTGGCGCTTCTCCTGTGATTTAGGAGTTCCAGACCCTGGAAGTTGTGAGCTGCCCTTTGCTGAGAGGCCCATTTCCCTGCTCTGTCGTGGAGCAAGTATTTCCCTGAAGCTGCTGTGATGGTCTGGGGAGGCGAGGCAAACAAGAGAGAGTTTTGTGAACTGCAGCATACAGTTGTGCCTTGATAACTGCAGATTGGTTCCTGGAACCCCGGCAGATACCAAAATCCAGAAATGCTCAAGTCTTTCATATAAAATGGTGTTTATCTGCATGTAACCTGTACACATCCCCCAGCATTTTTCAGATTCTCTCTAGGTTGCTTATTTGTGCTGATCTGCTGTGTAAATAGTTGTTATACTATATTTTTTAGAGAATAATGACAAGATAGTTTGTGTTCAGTAAAAATGATCTTTTTTCAAATATTTTTGGTCTGTAGTTGGTTGGATCCACAGCTGTGGGTCCCACAGAAAGGGAGGCCAATTGTGTTGCTCTCAGCATTCAATCTCTTGTAACCCGCTTCTCCTCCTAATCTAAACAGAGCCTCTTCTTTTCACAGCCTCTTGAGACTGCCCTTCACGGTGGTGTTTCCCCAGCCAGGTTCTCTCTGTTGTTTCTTCTTGAGCTTTGCCGGCATAATAGTGCCTGATGAGCAGGGAGGCAGGATGCACTAGCCAGCCAGCTGGAATTTGTTCCAGGGCAGCAATGGTGTCCTCAGGTGTCATCATTAAAATACTGTTTCCTGTGTACATGCTATGTCTCAGGCACTGTGCTAAATGCTTTGCCTGTGTTGCCCCCGTTAAACCTCACCAGAGGACACAGGCATTCAGTAGGTAGGTAGAGAGTATCTACAATGTGCCAGACACTCTTTTAGGTCGTGAAAGTACGTAGAGCACTGAATGACAGAACTCCTGACCTTATAGATCGTACAGGCCCACTAAACTGGAGAGTCATAGGATGAAGTAAATAGGCTAACATACAGTGAGGTGGAGATCAAAAGGACTATGGAGAGAAATAAAGCAGAAAAGGCACGTATTGAGTATCAGGTGGGGTGGGAGTGAGGAGTACAGTTTTAAATAGGATGAGCTATGTGGATTTCTGGGGGAAGAGTGTTCAGGTGAAAGGAACAGTAAGTGCACAGGGCAGTAGACAAGGGATGCTGTGTGTGTGGAGCAGTGGCTGGCGCAGTGGGTTTTGCTCATGAGGGCCTGGTGGCTGTAGTGGAGACTTGGTCTGCTACTGCCAGGGAGATGGGAGCGATGGAAAGGATAGTAACAAAAGAGAGATATGATCTACTGTACCTTTATTTCATTCATTTATTTATAGTACGTTAACAATATATGCACATTTTAAAAATCGATGTAAAACATACATAATACAGAAGTTGCCTCTTTAACCATTTGAATGTCTCTAGTTCAGTAATGTCAAATAATTCATATTATTATGTAGCCAATATCCCGAACTGTTTTCACCTTGCAAAACTGATCCCGTGTTCCCATTAAGTAATTATCCCTCATCTTTTTGCCCCTAGCAACTGGCATTCACCATTCTATTTTTTGTCACTGATTTTGGCCACTCTAGGTACCACATTATAAGGGGAATCACACAACAGTTGTCCTTGTTGACTCGCTTATCACACTGAGCATGATGTCCTCCAGCTTCATCCGTGTAGCAGCATGTATTAGGATTTTCTTCCTTTACACGGCTGAGTAATACCCATTTGTATGGATGGACCACACTTTCTTTATTCATTTATCCTTCTGTCAACAGTTGCTTGTTCCCATCTTTTAGCTATTGCAAATAATATGGCTGTGAAATGCAGGTGTGTAACTATCATTTTGAAACCTTGCTTTCAGTTCTTTTGGGTATGTATCCAGAGGTAGAATTGCTGGATTATATGATAATTCTGTGTTTTAATTTTTTGAGGACGCACCATACTGTTTACTGTCATAACTGCCCCATGTTAAATTTCCACCAGTAGTACACAAGGGTTCCTACTTCTCCATGTCCTCACCAAACTTACTTTTTGTTTCTTCATAATAGCCATCTTAATAGGTTTGAAGTAGATCTCCTTGCGGTTTTGATTTTTATTTTCCTAATAGTTGAACATCCTTTTCATATTTTCATTTTTCATGTGTGTATCTTCAGGCAAATTGCCTGTTCAAATTCTCTGCCTATTTTTGATCAAATTACTTTTGAGTTATAGAATTTAATCATATATTCTAGAAATTAATCCCTTATCAATGATTTCATTTCAAATGTTAGTTTCTGTCATTATCACAAAAGACCTGAGGAAATCAACATAAAGAAGGGGAGGTTTATTTTTGGCTCACCATCTCACCTTCCTGAGCCTCAGTTTCCACATCTATAAAATGGGGCCAATTTCATGGGCTTCATTAGGTGATTCTCAGGCTTCCAAGTGCTGCTGGCAAAGCCCAGCTTGAGCTTACTGAACACGGTGGCTGGGAGCTGTTCACAGTGCTGGTGCTGACATGGTTGGATGGTGTTGGGCTGAGTGCCAGCTCCAGGAGAAAGTGGCTGGGGTCCTCTGAGCTCTGTCTTCATCTGCAAGAGGGAAGTGAAAAGAAGGGGAGAGAGGCAGTGAGAGCTGGGACTGCACTGAGACAGTGGCGTAGAGGGACTGAGTCTGCATGGGCCACAGGAAAGCAGGCAAGTCACCCACTGGGTGGGGTTTGTCAAGGCCTTGCTCCTTCACCCCCACATCAGAGCCCCATGATGCAGAGCTGAGACAGACGTTCGGGGTCGTCTCTTTCAGCTTCCTCAGTCACAGGGTTACTAAGGACCAGAGAGAAGGGCTTTGCTTGAGTCCAACAATGACTGGGCAGGCAGGGTTCAAAATGCAGTGAGACAGAAGAGTGTTGGGGCCAGCGGAGGATCACTTCCATGCCTGAAGCTTGGCTGCCCTTTCACACTGCGTCCCCCAGCCCTGGCACCCTTGGAGGCACTTAGAAAATACTGTTGAATGAGTGTGTGTAGCGGGGAAAAAAAAAAAAAAACCAGCCTGATCTACCTCACTGGGCAAGTTGCATCTCCTTGCTGAGCTTCCGTTTCCCAAAACAAGTTTCTAAGTCTACTTGGTGGGTGCCCCAGTAGGGATTTAAACACGGGTCTGTCCAGCTCCTTGGCTGATTTTTCTGTACAGCACTGTCCTGATTCCTGTACTGATTCACTCCTTTATTGAGCACCTACTATGTGCCAGACCCAGTCCTGGACTCTCTGGATACAGCAATAAAGATAGGTGGGTTTCTGCCTCAGGATTTATATTGTAGGAAGATGCAGGTGTAAGACGGTAAACAGACAAAGCAATGGTGAGAAGTACTCAGAAGGGACCGGAATGGGGACAAAATGGGGCTGCCTTAGTTGCTGTGGTCAGGGAAGGACATTTTGATGGCATTTGAGAAGCAACAGCCATATGTGTACCATAGGTAGCCACTGTATGCAAAGAGCCTAAACAGGTAATTAAGAAGGGACACGTGTAATTAGATAAGCCTCAGACCTGCCAATGACTAAGTGATGAAGATATGGAAGGAGATCAGTTGTCAGAGTACTCAAAATACCCTGAAAAGACTCTGAGGAGGGGCTGGGGATTTAGCTCAGCGGCAAAGCGCCTGCCTGGCAAGCGCAAGGTCATGAGTTCGGTTCCCGGTACCAGAGAAAAACCAAAAAAAAAAAAGGCTCTGAGGAGCAGCACAGCAGGTCTGCACCCCTGGTCACATTGGCTCCCCTCTCCTCTGCCTCTGCCGTCTAGGTAAAGCAGATCATGGAAGAGGCCGTGACACGCAAGTTCGTCCATGAAGACAGCAGCCACATCGTCTCCTTCTGCGGTGAGTCTGTGGTGCCCCCCCACCGGCCTGGGAAAGTGTTTCCCTTTCCAGAGCTGCCTCAGGGAAGGCACATCTCTGAGCCAGCATTCTCATATACTGTTTTTGCTTTGTGACTTGGAAGTTATTTTTGAATCCCAAAGGGACTCTGTTGGGGAATTTCGGAGTAAAAATAGTGCAAGACACAATGAACAGTGACCCCCATGGAAGGATCATCATGGGGCATCGCCTTGCCTTCCTCAAGGGCTCAGTTCGTGCTACCTACAGCCTGAGCCTGGGGCTGTCCCGCCTCTGGGAAATGACCTCTGTGTCTTCCTTGCTCCGCCTTTGATGAGCACTAGATAAAGGGAGAGATGTACAGAATATTTAATGAGAAGGGGAAGAGAACCCTGGCACATCCGGAGGGACCCCAACAACTGGCTCAGCACAGGAGACAGTGGGGACTCAGCGTGACTCACCGCTCTTTGCACAGCTCTGTCGTAAGGTCCAGAAATACCCACACTGCCAGGTCCCACTACACTGTGATGGCAGCTAGAGACACGTTTTGTGTGTGCCTGAAGTCAGCATTGAGCTCAGAGTCTGTGTATGTATATGTGGGAGTATTCTTTCCTGCTCCCTGAAATGCTTTTTTTTAATAATTGGAGTATCTGATGGTGAAGAACCTGCTCAAATTCCCCTTCAGTGACCTTGGCCCCATGGAGAGGCCTGAGCAAGGACACCTGGCCACTCATCAGCTTCCATCCAGATGGCTGGGGTGCCACCACCTGGGGCCTAAATGCTGAACACACTGTGATTTGGGGACCAGAACCTCATTTCACCCCTTTTTCAGCCAGACGGACTTGGGTTCAAATCCCCAGCTTTACTGCTTACTGTTGACCTTGGGCAGAATCTTAATTTTTAGATGGAATATTTTTTTTACACATACACCTATCTATATAGACATACATATGTAAAAGTATATATGTATGAGAAATATATATTTTATGTCATAAGTATATAAATATAATGCATATTTTTACAAATATGTTTTATTATATTTACATGGCTTTTTATTTTCTCCTGGACATTTTATTTGCAAATCAAATCATGTTCTTGTCAGAACTGGCTAACATATCTACCAACTAAAATCTTTTGTTTTGTTTTGTTTGTTTTTTTGAGGAAGATCTCACTATGTAGTGCAGGCTGGCCTTGAACTTCTTTATGTAGCCCTGGCTGGCCTCAAACTCACGGCAGTTCTCTTCCTTCAACCTCCCAAATGCTGGGATTACAGATGTGTGCCACTCTGCCTGCTCCAAGAAATAAAAAGTGGTAAAAAGAATTATAATAGTTCCCTAACTCAGATCCAAGCTTTTGGGTGGAAGGAATTGGGTGGCACTAAATGAGACCTAAAGAATCCCATTGATTCTTTTTTTTATCCATTGTCCCTAGGGCCATTGTCCAGAAGAATTGGACAATGTGTACAAAACCTGAAGAAAGGATTAAAAAAATAAAAAGTACCACATATGTAAATTAAAGCCAGGTACACACATAATTCCAGCAATGTGGGAGCCTGAGGCAGGGAGATGGCAAGTTGGAACCCAGCTTAATCAACGTAGACCCTGTTCAAAACGAAAAAAAAAATGCTGGGGATGTAGTTCAGTGTAAAGGCCCTGGGTTCATTCCCCAATACCATCACCACCAAAACAAACAAACAAACAAAATAAACAAATAAATGAGAGAAGCTCACCTACAATATTTTAAATGTTTGGGCAGATGAACCAAGTTTTAGGCATTCATTCAAAACCAAGTGATGGCTTACTCAAAGAAAGGTGATTAACCCAAAACATCTCACAATTTCTCCTCACACATAGCCTAGGCCAACCTGTCACCCTGAGGGTGGCTCGCTTATTCTGTGGATGGTGATAACGAGAGCTCTTACATCATGGGTTTTTTATCAAGAACTAGGTAAGGCAAATCTTAACAGTTACCTGATACACGACAGGTGCCAAAGTAAGGAACAGTGCTTGTAGTATACTCGCTTTTTCAATAAACATGGATTATGCACCTATTGCATGCCACAGTGAGATGAAAGGTAAGAAGACAGAGGACTCCCCGAAGTCCCAGGACTAAGATGGAGGCCTCAGTGGTTTGAACAGGGCCAGTTTCCCAGAAGGGCTCATTTTAAGCCTAGAGAGGGAAAGTGGCTCATCTGAGGTCACTCAGCTAATAAAGGGGAGAGCCCAGGCCTAAACTCAGGAGTGGGCTCCGGGCAGCGCTTCCAAGGGAAACACAAATGAGATGACTATGAAATCCTCCTTCCCAGGCCATTTGTGGAAACACAAGTATTGCATGTGGCACATCGTGAACTCAGACCTTGTTGTATCCTGGTTCCATCACTTACTTGCTGGGTGGCCTAGAGCAATTCAGTTCACCGCTCTGAGCCCCACGGTCCACATCTAAGAAGTGGGGATATTTTCCTTACTTGCTGGCCATGGCAGAGATTAAATGAAATCCATAAATGTTAGCTGTGGTGTAATCACAGCACTGATGATATGATTCCTTAACCTGATGAACCTCAGTGGTCAGGCAGTCCAGTCTCCTGTCCCTCTGACAGAAACAATAGAGATGTGCACCAAGTAGCCACTGTGTGGCAGGCTCTGCCTGGTACTTCGTGTGCATTTTCACCTGCCCTACCAGCAACCTTACAGTGTTAATGTTTATACTGTCCCCACTCCACAGATGAGAATACTGAAGCCCAGACACGGGAAGTCATTGCTCCCGGTCACACAGCTGGTTAGTAGCTGGCCAAGGATATGAATAGAGATGGTCCAAACTTGGGCCACAGCTGTGGATAACCACTGTGCTCTCTTACCGTCTTTGAAGAGTGTTGCAGGTGGAGAGGAGGCATGTTTGTCAGTGACGCTAACCTGAGCTTAGTGATTCTGGGAGTCCTGGCTGGCTAGGACACCTCTGATATGAGCCACACAGGTACTGGGCAGTGTGGACAGGACAGGGCCTCCTGACCCCCATGTTCCCACAGCGGCGGTGGAAGCCTGTGTCCTACATGGGCTGCGTCGACGGGCAGCTGGCTTTCTGCGCAGCAACAAGATTGCAGCTCTCTTCATGAAGGTGGGCAAGAGCTTCCCGCCAGCTGAGGAGCTGAGCCGCAAGGTCCAGGACCTGGAACAGCTGATTGAGAACGCGTGAGTGTGAAGTGTTGGGAGCAAGCTAGGACAGTCCCCCAAAGGGTGGTCTGCAACCTTCCTCAGGCCCTGTGAGGTCCCACACCTCTTGGACCACCTTTGTTTTCCTTTCTGCTCCTCAGACCTGCATGATTCTTTTCCACCTCAGAGCCTTTGCACATGCAGTACCCTTGTATTAGTCAGCTTTGCACTTGTGGTACCTGACATAAACTACTTCAATGAGAAAAGACTGATCTGGACTCACAGTTTCAGAGGTTTCAGTCCATGGTTTCAGCTCCAAATTAGAAACATCATGGTGAAAGGGTGTGGCAGAGGAGAGCTGCTCATGTCATGGAAGCCAGGAGAGAGATCAAGGAAGAGCCTGAAGAAAGATACACCCTTCAAAGTCATGCCCCCAATGACCTACTTCCTCCAGCTAGTACGTACCTCCTAACAGCACATTCAGCCATGAACTCACCCATAGGTCAGGTTAGTGTCCTCGTGACCCAGTCATCTCTCCAGACATCTCTTAGTCCAGTCAAGTTGACAGTCAAGCTTCACTGTCAGCCCTCCACCAGGCTCATGGCCTGTTCTTCCAGGCCTGGTTCCTTGCCTCATTCATACCTCCCCTAGCTCTGTAGATTCCAACCCACTCACCATCTTCCCTCTCGTATCACCATTTATTTTCTTCCCACTTGTTGCCACCTATAGCTAGCCATTTTTGTGTTTGTTTACTGCTGACTTGGTTGTCATCTGTCTCCCTGAGTGCCATGAGAATAGGCAGCTTGCCTGTGCCATTTCCCATTGTGTACCAAGCACACGGGGCGGTGTACAGCATGTGGTCCATGCCCATGAAATGGTTATTGAGTGAGTATGTACTGAGTGGGAGCTACACCCCATTCTAAATGTAAGAATTTAACAGAACCCATGTGGTTTCTGCACAGACCAGATGCTGGGGCCTCTGGTTAAAACACACTGAAGCAGCCATTGAAGGGGAAGGCGGCTTCCCTTGCTTGTGCTGATGGCTGCTTGTATGTGTTGGGGGAGGCTCGAGACTGAGTGTAGTACATAAGTATCTATTGCCATACCTGCCCCCTTGAAGTCCCAGATGCACAGCCAAGTGCCCAACAAGAAACCTAGCCAGGGATGGCAGATAGGGCTCGGCTCCTCCTGGTGCCTGTGGCTTCCAGGGAACAGGGGTGCAAAAGCGTCTGAAGCTGTGGTTGGGCATCACGAAAAGAAATGCATGGATCAGCTGGCCATGTCTGTCACAGCGAGGGAGGAGACAAACACGTTGTGTGTTTCCAGCTTTCCAGTACTGTAACACAATTTCTGAGATAACCAAATTATAAAGAGGAAAGCTTCATTTTGACTCACAGTTCTGGAGGTTTCAGTCTGTGTCTGATTGGCCCCTTTGCTTTTGTACCTGTGATGAGGCAGCACAGCAAGATGGGAAATGCAAGACAGAGTAAACTGTTTACCTCCTACCAGGCACCAAGCTGGGGACCAAGCCTTATACCATAGTCCTTTGGAGGACATTCCGCATCCAAACTATAGTACACCCTAAGTTGGCCATCTCTGCCAAGGTGATCACTCCACAAAGTGAGACACATCCCCCCTTTCTTTCTTGTCCTTTGGTCCCTGCCTGCCAAGGGATGCTGGCCAGAATGTACCTCGGGCAGGGCTCAGGATTTGGCTCTGCCAGCTCCTGTTGAAATGACTTCCCAGCCAGGCAGTCTTTGTATTCCTTCCAGCCCATCTGGCCAGCTCCCAGGTATTCCCAGATAACTTCCTAAAGGGCTCGATCTCCAGCGCCTGCCACAGTGTGGGTGTGACTTCCCAATGGAAGAGTGAGAGGCATTCCTGCCAGGGATGAGGGAAAATTATGCATTCATCTGTGCAGTCACTATTTATGAATGTATTCAGTGAGCATCTTGTGTGTGCTGAGCACTGTGTCAGGCCCTGCCCTGGAGAAATAGACATGAAGGTGCCCATACTTGCCACTGGATAGATTCTTAGTATTTTAGTTTTTAAAAAACTTAAATTGCTTTTGCACATGCTCAGTATCACAGAGGAAAGGGAAAAATGAGCAGGCTGAGGGAGCATAGCCGCTTTAGCTGGTTCCAAAAAGCTTCCTATAGGAGGAGATGGTCTTTCTGACACCAAAAGAGTGAGAGGGTCATCCCAGGAATAGGGTAAGGGGAAACTGGTAAGAAATGGTAGCCTAGGCAGAATCTAGCAATTGCAAGAATCTGCACATAGCTCGCTCTGGCTGGAGCATGCCCTGAGGATGCCTGAAGGCAGGGTCATGAGCACCCTGCTGATCATGTGAAAGACCTCGCTTTCCAGGGGTGGTAGTGGGGAGTCACCAAAGGCTGTATAACCCAGTGCTTCCCAGTCAGCAGGAAGGCAAAAAGGAGAAGAGTGAAGAAGAAGAAAAGATGGGGAGAGAAGATAGAAGAAGGAGAGAGAGACTTAGAGGAAGAAGAGAGAGGACAGTGGGGTTGGGGGAAGGAAGGAGGGGAGAGATTGGTCAGATCTGGCTTGCTTGTTAGTGGTGTATGGGAGTATGTTTAGCCACATTGTCACTCACTAGGCATTACTGTCTTTCCAACTTTTTTTTTGTACTAGGATTTGAACTCAGGGCCTCACACTTGCCAGGCAGGCTCAGAGCTACCTCCCTAGTCCTACTGTCTTTCCAACTCTTGACCCATTTGCTAGGAGCAATATGAGTTCTTGTTTAGCTCCCACTCCTCTATTTCCTTGAAAAAGTGAACATTTTCCCCCTGGCCTATCCAGTCCTGTGGATTTGCTGCTTTGTGTCTACCTACCTTCTCTTATTGATCTTAAAGGAGAAACCAGATCCAAGGCCTCCAGGAGAATGTGCGGAAGCTTCCGAAGCTGCCCAACCTGTCCCCGCTTGCCGTCAAGCACCTGTGGATCCGCACAGCCTTGTTTGAGAAGGTCCTAGACAAAATCGTACATTACCTTGTGGAAAACAGCAGGTGAGATGGGGACAGCTGCACACCTAGTGCGCTCTGCCTCCACCTGCTGGCATTTCTCAGAATTGCACCATCTTGCACATAGCCACTTAAATTTGAAAGTGTTTATATAGAAGCCCCGGGATGTTTGACTCCAAACTAGGCTAGCTCAGAAATTTGAGGAGATTCAGATAGTTACTGGTAGTGCACAGGATTCAGAGTTAGGGCCAGGTGTAAGGTTCTTGGGTTTCTTCCTTCTCCTGTGGATTATCCCACTTGATAACCATGTGGCCCTAGGAGAACTAAGCCTTATGCTCCTTGTTGTCTCTTTTGGTAAACAGCATGGGGATCACTGCCACTCCTGAGAAGTGAGAAGGGAATTTGGTATATAGTATTTTGAAAATTCAGTGATACTCTTTACATTTTCTCTCTTAGTTCAGATTGATCAGATATATAAAGGTTTTATAGTACACATTTCTTGGGCCAGTATCCATCCATTCATCTGATAAATATTTAATGAGCATCTACTGTGTGCCAGGAACTAACCTAGTTGTTGGGGATACACTAGTACTACCTGTTAGATTAAAGAGCTTGGCCACTATTTCAAGAACAATGGGAAGCCACTGACTATACGGCAATGTGAGAGCCTTTATGGCCAACATGCCTGTCTAGCCAGAGAGAAAAATCTAAAGGGGCTGGTGTTGTAGCTCAGTGGTAAAAGGTGTTTCACTTTCTGGGTTCAACACCCAGCCCTGAGGAAAAAAAAGAGAAAAAGACAAAAGAAATCTGAATTTCTCTGCCTTTCATTATATGAAAGTGTTTCTTTAACCGCATATTCATGAAAGTGTGTTTTACTATTATTTTTCTTTGCCCCTTTACTAAGAAAATTTATATAATAATATGTGTCGGATGTTCCAAGGGGATGTGGTGGTGGTTCGTTATTGTTTTGTTTTTTCACTCCTGGGGTTTGGACCCAGAGCCTTAATAGTGAGCTATATTTCCAGCTCTTTAAGAAAGAAATTTGAGGCAGGATCTCAACTAAATTGCCAGGCTAAGCTTAAACTTGTGATCCTTCTACCTCAGCCTCCCAGAGTAGTGGGATTCCAGGTCTGCACCACCCCACCTGGCTTGTGTGCATGTTTAATCCCCTCTGTGTGACCAGGGAAAGCCTCCTGGAAGGAGTAGCGTTCCAAGGGCCTGGTGCAGGCAGGGAAAGGGTGGGAAAAGGGTGCTCCTGGCAGAAGCAACAGCAAGCACAGAGGCCTGAAGGACGGAGTGAGGCTGAAAAAAACCCAAACTCTAAATCTCCACTTCATTTCTTTTCCTTCTAGTAAGTTGTAATGCATCTGTGCCCCTGGCCATGGACAGTCCTGGGCTTCTTTAGTCATTGCCTTTGACCTGTGACCCTCTTGTGTTGTCCTACTGGATAAGTCAATCAAAAGGAATTGGGCATTTATTAGAGCAGCAATGTCAACCTGCTATATTTTTCATTAAATTCTAAATTTCAGATTTCCATAAAAGTTGCAAAATTAGTACCAAGAGTACTAATCGGCTAACCCCAGTAATTATATCTTATTTAACAACAGCGCAGTTGTGAAAACCAGGACATTGATCTGGGTATGGTACTGTTAACAGCCTTTATTTGCAGTTCACCACTTCGTATGTGAACTTTGTTTATTTATTTGACATATGGTTCAATGAGATTGTAACTAACAAATACTTTTGTGTGCCCAGCACCACAAACAGGATATAGAATTGTTCCAAAGAAACTCCCCAAAAAATTGCCTTAGGTTGCTTTTAATAGTCACATCTTTTCCCAACCCTGTATGCCATTTTTATGGCAGCATTTTCAAGGCTTATGATCCCTGTGCTGATTTTTGGAATGGAACTTAAGTGGCAGCAGAGTGGCAAGTGTCTCAAGTATTATGTTCAGATTTGACCTCCAAATGTAGAACTTTGATACTGAGCAAGGCCAACACATGTCAGCTGTGCCTCACCCAGTATTGTGGCTGATAGATTTCTTTGGGGTAAGATTACAATGACATTGGCGCCATTTAGTGAGGACTTCGTGGTGTTGGGCCTTGTACTCCACAGGCAGCTCGTTGTTCAACCTTTTCAACAACCACACAGATGAGTTTTGTCATTCTTCTCATTTTACAGCTAGGAACACTGAGTCTCAGAGAGAGAATTCACTTGCCTAGGGGCACACAGCAGGGTGGAGAGAGGCTGTGCTGAGCTCCCGCGTGGCCTGGCTGACTCCAGGTGCTGTGTCCTTCTCCCTCTGCTGTATGATAGTAAGAGTGGAGCTAGTTGGCTGTAGTCTGAGACCACATCTGCCTGCTGTGTGACTTCTAGCAAGTCCTTTTACTTCTTTGAGCCTGAGATTGTGGGGAGATCAGAGCTTTGAAATTCTCTTAGTTTCTAGGTTACCCAAATTTTTAAGGAATTAGGAAATACTACACCAAAACTCATGCATGGAATTATTGCATTGATGACATCACATAGTGCTTTGCAGAGCCAGATTTCAGGGCACCCTTTTGAGCGACTCAGGCCAGTGTTACCAGTTTTAGTTACCAGGCAGGACAGCCTGTTAGCACAGTCTTAGAGGACACATTGCAGTTAAACAGCATTTTATCCCCTCAGGAGGAGCAGAGCCAACTTCATCTGCACCTTTGAATAACTTGTCATCTCCAACAGAAAGAGGTTGACTCGGCCAGGTCTCAGCAACCTTCAGGTTGTTATTCCTGTTACTCTCAGAAAGGCTCTTGCACAATCGCATTTTAACAGGTACACACCAAGCACCACCCTAAGTGCCTTTCTGTTGTGTAGCTCAGAAGTCCTTCTCACAGCTCTACAAGATACATTTTGTGGCTAGTGCAACCGAGCCTGTGAGCGTTCGTGGTAATATGGAGTCTTTTGTGTCCGCTGGTGGTCTCCATCCAAACCTGTGTGTCCTTTGCTCTCTCACTAGTAAATACTATGAGAAGGAAGCGCTCCTGATGGACCCTGTGGATGGCCCCATTCTCGCATCTCTCTTGGGTATGTGGTCCAGTGCTTGGAGCTCATCTGGACCTCTGGTCTCAGGTCTCAGGCACCTCCTGAGGGCCCCTCTCCTCTCCAGCCTCACCCATCAAAAGTTACCTGTTCACTTTCTCTTGCTCCTAGAACCTTCTTCAGGTCTCTTCTTTGCAGGACTCTAGAACATCCTGAGTAGAGGGGAGGGGTAATGGAATGGGTGGTCCATCCCATAGTAGATAGGAGGGTGGACTTGTGGGGGCTCAGGTCCCCAGCCCCATGTACTCCACAGTGGGGCCCTGTGCCCTGGAGTACACCAAGATGAAGACCGCAGACCACTTCTGGACTGACCCCTCGGCTGATGAGCTGGTCCAGAGGCACCGTATCCACAGCTCACACCTGCGGCAGGACTCACCCACCAAGCGACCAGCTCTCTGTGTGAGTTGAGGGGGTCGTGGAGCCATGGGAGGGACCTGAGGCAAGGTCTGGACTTGGCCTGGGGGCAAGGAACAGGGTAGGAGCCATGTCACTCCAGGGCCATCCTTCTATCTCCTATCACACTTCCAGATCCAGAAGAGGCATTCAAGTGGCAGCATGGATGACCGGCCATCCCTTTCGGCACGTGACTATGTGGAGTCCCTGCACCAAAACTCTCGAGCCACCCTGCTCTATGGCAAGAACAATGTTCTGGTTCAGCCGGTGAGAGTTCATGGCAGGCCCAGATCTGCCTCTCAGGGTTTTGCTCCAAGTAATAGAGGAAGAGTCTCTTTCTGGCCCCAGGTCATTCATCATATATCCACCCTCCCAACCATTTGTTCATCCATTCATCTGCCAGTCCATCCATACGTTCATCCACCCATCTATCCGTCCATCCTTCCAGTCAATCTCCAGTCTCTTAACCAGCCAGTGACCTCTCTTCCCTTTTCTCTACACACCCATTCTCTTGTCCATTGCATCCTCACATCCTTGCCTCATGCTGCTGTTTATATCCATCTGCCCATCTTTACACCCCTTTGTTCATCCATGCAATTATCCACTTATTTTCTAGTCCATCTCTCCACCTTATTTTTTCAAGGCTAAGAAGCCATGAATTTAAGGTGAATCTTCTTTTCATATAAATTACATACAGGATTTTTTTTACTACTTTCAGATTTTCACCTTACCCTTTTTGAGACTTACTTAGACATCGGAGGCTTTTTTGTCTTTGCATAACACATCGCTATTTTAAGTACACATAAGAGAAAATATAATTTGAAGGGCTTTAGTTAAGATATTCCTAAAATATCTCCACATTTAAGAGTTTAATCTCCTGTATCTCTTCATGATTTAAAGTCACTGAGGGCCTAATTTTTCCACATACAGAACTGTTTGCTGTTCAGTGAATCATAGCAGTGTGTCAGATGTGGCCTTCACCTGTTTTTTAAAGCACAGATATGACCATTTGTTTATGTATTGTGTATGACTTTGCAGGCTGTGGGGGCAGTTGAGTGGTTGCAGCCAAGGCTGTATGACTCCTAAAGCCAAAAATACTCCCTGTCTGTTCCTTCGCACTAGAATTTTGTTTTCCCCAACACAAAAGAGCAGGAAGTGCAGCATTTATTGTAAGAATGTCCACTCATCTCTGAGATGACCAGGTCTGAAGTCCCATCAAGCAGTAGATTGCTGCTTTGTGGGGACCCTTGCAGGGATGAATAATGTGCCTGTGTCACGTGTCACATTAGCACTGCACTGCTCTGTTCCCAGCCTGTGTCACAGTACTTTGCAATTCAGAACTGAGTCACAGGCTAATCCTTTGGAAGACATCTAGAACAGCATCTATTCTCCAAATGTGAAATAACTACGCACAAAACTCAGTTGAAGTGACAACGGTGTGAACAGCTATGACCAAGTGTGCATGAGGTCACACTGCAACTGCATCAGAGTTGTGAGCTGTCATTGATTATAATAGAACACGCATTATAGGATTTATGGAACACTCTGCTTCCTCATGCCTGGGTATAAGCACATGCAGTTCACTGTGACATTGTGTGTAGTGACGGAGCCATGCTCAGTATATGCTTCATCCTCAGTAAGTGCTGGTTGTCTTCCTGTTTCTGGGGTGAATTTGGCGAAGGAACTGCTTTCTTCACATATGGGGGATGTTCACATTCCATCCCTACCCATTTTGGGATAAAATAAAGAAAGTGAGGAGTCCTTTAGACACATTCTGGGAAGGCAGAGGCTCTGAGTGCTAGGTAGGAGTGTGGTGAGGGTGAGGGTACTTCGGAAGCAGGTTTCAGGGTACTGTCTATGGGATGGACCACAGACTCACCTGCCATCTATAACATTGGCCAACATAAGTGTCTTTTTTTGGAAAGAGTGACATTAAGAGAGACATAACCCACTTCCTGGTTCTAAAGGAACAGTGGACCAAGGCCCCTTGACTTCAGGAGGGAGGCATGAGTGTGACAGTATGCAGGTGGGTGGCTTTCTCAAATGGACTCTACACCCCATCCTGGAAGCCTTTGCACATGGCTTTCCTTAGCACAGCCACCTGGAAGGAGACGGGATCTTCCTATGGCCATTGCCTTGAATAGCTCAACCTCTTAGTGGCAGTTGTGCATTCTTGAGTCAGAAGGCCAGGACCTCTTTCCACTGAGGCTCCAGTAGCATGGCCAGGCCTGAGTGATCCTCTCTCTTCAGAGGGATGACATGGAAGCTGTGCCAGGGTACCTGTCCCTGCACCAGACAGCTGACGTCATGACCTTGAAGTGGACGCCCAACCAGCTGATGAATGGATCCGTGGGGGACCTGGACTATGAGAAGAGGTAGGGCACTGGGTTCATTGTCTGCCCCCAGAGTCCCTCTACTGTCCTTGGCACAGGGAAGTTCCCTTGGGGGAGATTATTCCCTGCCCCTAGGCCACTCTGCCTGGTTATTGCAGGGTTACCTCGCTCATCCTCCCTGCAGCTGTGACCTCACGGGTGAGTGACACACTCAGGAGCATCCACAGACCAATTGGAAGAGTCTTAGGGTGTGGAAGTTAGGTAGCACCCTGGTCAAGGCAGCACACAGAAAGAGAAATCTGTACAAAGGTCCGGTGAGCCTGCAAATGGCAAGACATTCCCCAGTCTCTGCCTGTTCTCACATCGCTCAGTTAAAAGAGAATGGGACTTGTTAGCAAGTATGTGGTCCCCAAAGCTGTGTCTTCTCCAACACCCATGACGTATAAGACCTGACAAAAGTTTTGGAGTCACAGTGGGAGGGAACACTGGGCCAGGGCTCCCTCCTGCAGACAGGACACAGGTATCTGTCACCCAGCCTTCATGGCCATCCACATATCCCCTAATCCCTACATATTATTTGGAAGGAACATCTGCAAATATTTTAATATGTATCTCTAAAAAATAAGAACTTTTTCCAAGACACAACCACAAGACCACTGTGTTCTGTTAAATATCAAGCCTGTGATTCACATTAGGTCTTGGAGTGGTCACTAGTGTTCTCAGAGCTGGATGGAGGAGCTCTCAGGGGAGGTCGTCTGGCTTCCTGAACTCTTGCAGCAAGGCAGGTAAGTGTCCTGCAAGCTAAACCCTCCCTCCCCTTCCAGTGTCTACTGGGACTACGCCATGACCATCCGCCTGGAGGAGATTGTCTATCTGCACTGCCACCAGCAAGGTAGGAACTGTGGGGACAGCAGGGGCTTGGCTGGCTGTTCTTAGATACCCTGCCTGGCACCACCCCTGAATATTCATTAGGAACATGCAATAGTGAGGTGGGTGACCCATATCTCCTGCGCAACCTCAAACAAATGACTGCCTGTCTCTGGGCTTGTTTTCTCCCTCTGTAAAATGAGGATGCGTGTTACTCAATCATTGTAACAACCTGGGGATGAGGTGGCATCGTTCCCACATTAGAGGTGAAGAGGCAGCTGGACACAGAGTCAACACAGCCTGTAAGCTACAGAGCCTGGGCTTGAACTTGGACTTTATGTCTCCAAAGTCAGTGCTTTGCAGATTAGGGATCAGTAACCAGCATTCCTTTAAAACCAGTTACAGTCAGAACAAGCAGACAGACATCTTGCTTTAGAAAGCAGAGAGGCCTGTGGCTCACCAATACCTGAAACCCAGTAATTATGAGATAGCCCAGGTCTCAGATTTAGGCTGTGGCTTATACTTGTTCTGTGGTCTTGGGGAAGTTACTTTACCTCTCTAATGCTTGGTTTCATCATCTATAAAATAAGCAGTAATAAAACTTGGGATATTATGAATATTATGAGACAGTGCTTATAACGTGCTGTATTTGTATATAGCAAGTGCCCACCATGTTCAGCAGAGTCAACAATGGCCCTGAGAAGGGGCTACCTTCTGTCTGAAAGCCTCCATACAAAAATAAGTCAGATTTGCAGATGTTTCTTGAGTAACATCAGGTGTTTGGGGGCGTCTTTTTCTTCAGGGAGCTAACATTCTGGACCTTGTCCTATAGTTTCCCAGACAGTGGTAGCTGGTGTGTAGGTTGCAAAGGTCTCAGGACCCAGATCCTGAGAGCAGGACCCCTGTGTACTGTACCCCTGGGAGCATGTGTTTTCAGAGTGGGGGCCTCTCACCATGCCTCATAGTGACTTCCCACTGGTCTTCTCTGGCCTCTTGTGGTGGCAGTGGACAGCGGTGGGACGGTGGTGCTGGTCAGCCAGGACGGCATCCAGAGGCCACCCTTCCGCTTTCCTAAGGGTGGTCACCTCCTCCAGTTCCTCTCATGCCTGGAGAATGGGCTGCTCCCCCATGGTCAGCTCGACCCACCACTTTGGTCCCAACGGGGCAAGGTGAGTGGTTGGGAAGCTCGGGAGGGCTGCCATGGGATGAGGTCCTCTTGCCTCAGGACTCTACAGTATGGTCTCAGGCACTGCCGCAGAGACCCTTGTGCTGGGCAGGCTGTGGGGACCACCATTCCCCCTAGGACCCTTATGTTGAGACCAGCTCTTTTAGGGCAAAGTGTTTCCCAAACTGCGCAAGCGAAGCCCGCAAGGTTCCTCTGAGTCCACGTCTTCAGACAAGGAGGATGATGAGGCCACAGATTACGTGTTCCGGATCATCTACCCTGGCATGCAGTCTGAATTTGGTAAGCTGCCCTGTCCCCACACCCCGGGGCCCAGCTGCTCACTGAGCCTGGAAACCATTCCAGTGCTTGGGACTAGCTTGGGACTTGGAATCAGGAAGTAAGTATCTTGGCGGCCTCAGTTTCTCCCAAAATGAGGGCAAATGATCATTCTGTACTTGGCTGCTAAAAATGCTGCTGGCAGCAGGTGACGGGGTAGTGTCAGTGGCATAGGTTCTGGAATCGTGGCTGAACTTGAACACGCTACTTGGTGCCTGTGTTTCCTTATCTGTAAAATGGGGGTGTTTTAGCACCTATTTCTTAAGATTGCCATGAGGGTTAGAGAAAGTAAGGCATTTGGCACACAGTCCTGGAGTGTTCGTTGTTATATGCTTCTGGCAATGGCTGAGTTTGGTCTGAGTGTGGTGCAGGCTTGGCAGGCAAGTCTGCCTGTCGGGTTAGCCTGTGTTTTTACCTATAATGTTCCTTCATGGTCAGCTTGCAGCAAAGCTGCGTGTCCTGCATCCTGTAAGTGGGAGAGTTCTTACATCCATCTCCGCCTGGTGTCAGGCCCTGGAGCCCTGCCAGCCTCTGTGTGGTACAGTGTGAGAGCATGGTACTCAGGCACCATATAAGGCTGTTGCAGCCTGTGCTGAGCAGGTGGCATTAGGGAGGGTGCACACTCCACTGGCTTGTCCTGTTCGTAAGAACCAGGCCTTCTTACCCCCACCAAGATGGATGTGCCTTAAAAGCCAGTCACAGAAAAGGCCAGGTCCCTATAACTGCCTTTGCAGGAAGCTCCTCCATCACCCAGATTCTCAGCCAACAAGTAACTTCTACAGAGAGCCAGCTGGGTGCCAGACAGATCTGGGGACTCTTTATATTGCCCTGTTCGGCTTGACATGGCCAGAGGAGCAGATGCCACTCTGCCCACCCACAGCACTTGACGTTTCCCTTTCTGGCCATGGCATTCACCTGCCAGCTATCTACCTCAATATCTCTTTGCCTTGGGGTCTCACTGGCCATGAGGGTCCCTTCTGCCCAGGAGCAGGGCATATTGGAAGTACCTGGGAATCAGTGTCTCCTGGAGGTAGCCCTCAGCCTGTCACCCTACAAGTGAGCAAACTCTGAAGTGTGTCTTCAGCACAGTCACCCAGGGGCCCCCTAGAGATTACAACAGGGCAGAATTTCTCCTGTTGAAAACTGCTGGATAGAGAAAAGAACACATCACTGTGTGCAGCACCACCACTGCAGTATAGTCACATAACTCATCCTGTTCAGGGCTTGTTTCCTGCTCTGGAGAGGAGATGACAGCATTCCCCACCCAGCATCATATCTGGAGGGATTAGAGTGATGACTCATAAAGCTCCAGGGTACTCGATGTGGGCCCAGTGCCTGGCAGATGCTCAGCAATCCTGGGTATTGTGTACTGATGCCGTGGGTGCCGGGCCACTTCTGTCCCCTCAGCCCCAGCACAGCCCTCCCAGGTAAAGGCAAGTACCACTGTTGTCATCACCCTCCATTTTGCAGAGGGGAAAACAAGCACAGAAAGGTTAAGTAACTGATCGAGGGTCACACAGATAATTCCTGCCATGGGTGGGTTTTAAGCACAGGAGGTCTGGCTCCAGATCCTGTGCCTCTAACCATGACTCCAGGCATATTGTTTTGACTGGTGGGGGAGAGAGGGCCTTGGTGTGTATCTCCTTCATCTCAGGGTCAAATACAGCCTACATAGAAATATAACTGCTTGGTGAATATTTTCAGGGGCCTGCGCCACACATGGGTCAACAAAAGCAATCATTTTTCATTGTCCATCTGTGGCAGGCATGGAGTAATTCCTGGAGCAGTGCCTAAATCAAAAGTCAGCAGGCCCTCCCTATGGACTTCATCTGGTCCACTGCCTGCTGTTGTTGTTGGGTGGTTGGGTATTTTGTAAATAAAAGTTTTAATAAAACATCCATTGCTTTATGTATTATCTGTGGTTACTTTCAGACCACAACAGCAATGTCCAGTAATTGTGATAGAGGTCATGTGGCCAACAGAGCCAAAAAAGATTTGCTGTCTGGCCCCTTGTAGAAAAAATTGGCAGATGCATGCCTTAAACAACAAGGGAAGAGTCTCAGCCTATGGGAGGGAAGAGGTGGCCACAGATGTTCTAAACTGCCTTCTAGTGTCTGAGCACCCTGCTCCTCCACTTGGTCCTCTGCTGCTTCTTGTTCCTGGGGAGGCAAAGACAGGTTCTAAAGCAGTGCCGGTGAACCTTCCAGAACTTTCAGTATACAACTTGCTGCTGCACATGTGCCATAGGTTCACCAGCACTGTCCTCCAGCATGTGGACAGATACACAGTCAGATACTGTCATCTCAGACTCCTCTGCTGCTGAGTTTGTCTCTGCTGTTTGGCAGCCACAGCCACCTGTGCCCACTGAGCCCATCTTACGTGGCCAGTGGACATGAGATGCACTGTAAGTATAAAATACACACAGGGTTTTGAAGACTTTGTATGCAAAAAAATACCTAAAATACCTTGTTAGTAATTCTATATTGATTGTATTTTAAAATGGTAACGCGGGATATAGTGAGTGAAACAAAATACACTGCCAGAATCTATTTCATGTTTCTTTTTTACCCTTTTTATGTGGCTCCTGGATAATTTCCTATTACTTATGTGGCTCTGTCATGTTCCTTTTGGATAGTGCTGGGCTAGTGCCAGATTTCTCAAACTCAGTACTGCTTTGTGTGTGAGCTTGTCCTGTGCCATGTAGGGTGTCTCTCACCTCCAGCAATGATATGCCGCCAGCATGAAGTGAATATCCAAGTTGTCACAACCAGAAACGTCTCTGGGCTTCACTGAAATGGCCCCAGTTGAGAAGGAACAGAGAGACGAGAGCCAATGGGAAAACAGTAAAGGGGGCATGAGTAATGGAATCAAATCCCCTGGGTTGGAATTTAAGCTCCTTCAGCCCCTCCACTGAACCTAAATTAAACCTCCCATGCCTCAGTTTGCTAATTTGTAAAAAGGATTGATAATAGCGCTGGACTCAGTAGTAACTGCTGCTGGTGGAAAGAGAAGGAGGATGTTGGTCATAGGAGACCAGCTATGTCACTACCTGGTGAGGCTTTGGGTGCTGAAGCTGTGTCACCACTCTGAGTTCAGTAACTGCTTTGGTGAAATGGGAAGAGAAATGCATCCATTAGAGGGATCACTGAGAATGATAAGGTGAGATCTCTGCCTAGTCCAGCACTTCGTGCAGAGTAGGCATTCATAAATATATCCCCATTCTGTCTTTACTCAGACATGGTATATGTGGGAGCTGTGCAGAGCAGGGCAGGGGAGAGGTTTGACCTCCAAGGAATTGGTTCTTCCGGCCGTCTCCCTGACCACTTGACCACTTCTTTCTATTTTGTGTCTCAAGTTGCCTCCAACCACTCAGGCACTTGCTCCATGTCTGTGAGCCCTGCCTGGATGATGGTTCCTGCTGGTCAGTCCATGCTGGTGGTGGCCAGGAGGATTCAGTGGGCACGAGCCAGATGTGACACCGCCTTCCCCACACTGGGCCCAAAGGAACAGCGCCCCAGTAATGTCTGAGCTCCCCCTTCCCCAGGGGCTGTGTGCCTGCCCCCTCTGCCATGTTGTCATTTCAGTGTTGGTCCCAGGGGAGTTGGGAGGAAGACACTGCAGAAGGTGGCTGGGGGTTTTGTGGATCAGTAGGGAAGGGATTCACTGGAGAGGCTCACATGGTGTGAGAGGTTGAGGTGGAGGCTTGGTCACCACACTTGTGCTGAACTGATCAGTGCCACCCTGAGGCTGGCTGTGAACTGGAGATGTTTTCCTAGGACATTTTACAGGTCTCACTGGCCTTTCTTAGCTAGCTCACTGGCCTTTCTTAGTGAGCCTGGTTAGGGAGGAAGAGTATGACAAGAACTGCATTCTGCAAGCAGCTTCATCTGTGTCTGTGGGTAGGACTGACCCTGTCGGCTGCTGAGCTTTGTGACAGGTGGAGCCAGATGCACATCCCTCCCCTCACAACTCAAAGGAAGAGTCAGAGTCACACCAGCTATAGTTGAGTGGTCATGGCTTACAGGGAAAATAGGCACACTCTCATTTCCCAGAGTAGAGATTAGAAAACCACGGCCCACAGGTCAAATCCAACCTCATTCTGTACAGCCCATGAGCTGATAATGGGTTTTATGTTCTTAAGTAACTGAACAGAAGAATGTTTTGTGATATGTAAAAATAATACCAAGTTCATAGTTGAGTGTTTGTCAACAAAGTTGTGTTGGAACATCCTCATGCTTGTTTATGTGTATGTCTGGCTACTGTTGGCATGTAACAGCAGAGTTGGCCATAGAAAAGTTTACTGAGCCTTAGCGTATGGAAAATGAGAATGTCGTACTCATTTACAGCTGCCAAGAGACCAGGAATCAGAGTGCAGAAATCATAACACAGTACATACGCATATGTCACCGGATGTTTGTTCTGTAGCTGCACGTATGGTGGTTTTCCCAAAGCTAAGAAAGAAGAAATTGAGACACTGAGAGCTTTGTTCTGGGAGCAGCCAGTTGTATATCACCAACGTCCAACAGTTAGAAGAGCAGGGTCTCTCCAGTGGGGCTGCTGTATCCACATTGTTATAAAAAGATTTTCCAAGGATGGTGTTAGACACCTATAATCCTAGCTTTCTGAAAGGTTGAAGCAGAAGGATTACAATTTTAAATCCAGTGTGGACAATTTCGTGAGACACTATCTCAAAATCTAAAATAGCTGCGAATGTAGTTGAGCATAAAAGCCCTGAGTTCAATCCCCAGTACCACAAAAAAAAGTAAAAATACAGATTTGAGGCTTTGTCTCTGCGAGGTTTTAATTCAGTAAGTGAGAGCTATAGGATGGGCATATGGCTTTTTACCAAGCCCTCCCAAGATTCTGGGGATTGCCAGTCTGTGTGGACCCACATAAATGTGCAGCATTGTTGTTCAGTACCGTGGACAGCACCCCCACCGCCCTCTGGGTCTCCTGCCCTAGGGTGCTGTCCCTCTTCTATTGGGATAGGCTTCCCTAGCGCACCACCAGGAGCTCCCCACAAGTACCCTGCAGGCTCCTGTCCTTCCCATCAGCATCTTGTGAGCACAATTAAATGACAACATGGCGAGGCGGCCTGCTCTGGGATTGGGCTTGTTTTCTTGGCTTTAGTCTCTTCCTGTCTCTTTGGCTTTCATCAGCTCTGTCCATTTGCTGGAGCTTCCAAATCATGGTGGTGGCTTTCATTGGATCAGTAACTCCCCAAGGGCCAATGTCAGACTACGATCGGGGTTGTATTTCCTACTTTCAGATTGGAGGTCTTTCCCTGTCCCTGTGCCACCCTGGTGGGGAGCTAACTGCTTTGGTGTAAGGCTTCTGTTGCCCACATATACCTAACCAGCTCTTCTTCTGCCCCTTCCACATACCGCAGTCCCCCAGGATCTGATGGATGTCTCTGTGAGCAACCTCCCATCTCTATGGCAACCTAGTCCCCGGAAATCCTCCTGTTCATCCTGTTCACAGACTGGCTCAGCTGATGGCAGCTCAAACAGTGGCTGCAACCATGAAAGGTAGGGGGGGCTTGCTCTGTGGATAGGAGAGACTGAAGGGCTGACCAGAGCCGTATAGATGCCTATTTCTGGCCATGCAGTGAATTTGGAGTCATGAACATAGGCCTATGGAATCATCCAGCGCTGTGGTAAATGTTAGCCTTGTGCAATCCTGACCACAGGAGCTTGCTTATGTTTGTCAGGACAAACAAGATTATGGTTTGGTAACAAACAGTCATGAAATCTCATAGGCTTTTTATGGCAAATTTTATCTGTCACACATGCAGTGTGTCTTATCATAGGTCAGCTGAGAGTCTCCTATGTCCAAACCAAGGTTCCTGGCTAATGGAGCAGCCACTGGCTTGGATGTTGCTAGAGTGACAGTGGGAGTGATACCTCTGGAGGGGTTTTAGCAAACAGGAAATGTTGATTATTTCTACTCCCAACCCATTGGCCCTACACACAAGGGACCAGGAAGTGTACCGCTACCATGTGCTTGGAAGGCAGAAACCAGAAATACTATTTAATGGCAACAACCTATGTCTCAGTTTGGTCTTCTACAAAATGCTTAATGCACAGGACTATTAGGATCACATTAAATAATGATTTAATGTGGCCAGCACAAAATACCTGGCACATGGTAGTGTTCAATAAATTACACTTTTATTGTACAGAATTAATTTTCAAGTTCATCTCCTTCCTTGCCCACAGAGCTCCTGTCTCTTTGAACTAAGCCAGTTCACAAGAATGGTCTTGTTTCCCACTAGGCCAGCCAGGGAGAAAGCAATCCTTTTGTCTTTGGTAGGCGTTTGTCCCAGTGGGAGGTCCAGTCTTTAGCCATACATGAAGAGTCTGCTTAATATCACCCCAAGATCATGTGTATATACTTCAGCATGAGATGTTTTAATGTAACTGGAGATTCTCAAACTTTGAGTCACCTGGGGGAGGTAGCAAAGCATACTGGTCCCAGACCTACCTCCTAGATGTCCTGCTTGAGGGAGTGCTCTATGTAGGACCTAGGAATCTACATGTTAGAGAGATTCCAAGTGACTATTGGACTGGCCCACTGATAAGTGCTACTCTACCTCATACTCACTTCCATAGTGTATCCTTCATGCCTGTAGCAAAGGAAAGCTCTCCACCTTGCAGAACACCAAACCTGCTATGCAACAGTTTTCCGTGTGATGCTTTTCTTATGTATCCTAAGCAAATCTAAATCTAAGCAGCCTGAGGACACAAAGGGGGCCACTTTAATGTTTAAAGCTTCTTCTCTAGTTCTCCTGGGTTTCTCTGGGTGTCTCTTAGAACGTCCTAAGATTGAATATGCAGATACTCTTCCATTCTGTCCTCTGCAGAAGTACATGACAGTTCTTTGGCAGTCCTTGTTTCTCCAGCAGTGCTGAGAGAACCACTTCTTTCTTTTAGTCAGAACAGCACCTAAAAATTCCTGTGCAGAAAGAAGCTTTGAGACATTACCTCCTTTGTAATCAGCCAAATTCTGAATTCTAGTTTGGCTTACTGGGAACTCCTAGGAACTCTTAGGGAACCCTTAGGAATTCTTTCTGAAAGTAACAGAACCTTACTTCAGACTGGTTCAGGAAAAGAAAGATGAAAAATGTGTTGGCGTAACTGAGAAGTTCGGAAGCACAGCAGCTTCAGGACTGGCCTGATTCCAATAGCCAAGATAAAAATCCCTCTTTCTTCAGATGTTGTGTCTGCTTGCCTTTGTGCTAGTTCCCAATACAATGGTACATGTCCCACTACTGTAGAAACCCAACCAGAAAAAAAGAGTCTGTGTTTCCCACTAGTTCCAAAGAAAGTCCCAGGGCTGATTCTCATTGGCCCAGTTGGGTCACATGACCACCTCTATGCCAAATACCATGACTCCATCCTGGATCATGTACTGGTAGAGTTATTCATCCACAGAGCCTTACAGAAGAGGTGGTTCCTCAAAGGAAAATCCGGAAGCTGATAGCAGAAGGACAGCCATGCTGCTGTTGGGTGGGCAGTAATCTTAGCAGCCCATGCTGTGGTCCCTCTGCTGGCTAATTTTAATCTACCCTCAAGAGTGGATGAAGTCAGGTCCTCTTCAGACAACCTGTGCTGTGGTTCTGTTCCTGTTCTAAGCATCTTCTCTTTACACTTGCAGGGCTCCTTTGAAACTGCTCTGTGACAATATGAAGTACCAGATCCTTTCCAGAGCCTTCTATGGATGTATGTATACATATTCATTGCTGGTGTGGTATCCAACAAGCATTTATTGAGTGGCTACTATATGTCAGCAATAGCAGGGTGAGGAGCCAGACTCTGGAGTTTGAACTTGTGCTCTTCTAGTTCCTAGTTGCCTGGTTTTGATGAAATTGCCCTAACCTCGTTTCCTCATCTACATATCAGGTGTACGTTTTATCCTGGGGTCCTAGGAGAGGGTGGTGAACACTGCGGCCCCAGGGAAGGAGTTTGGTTTAATCAACACTGTACCCCAAGCCTCACTTTGGGGAGTTAGTTTTTCAGGATTGGAGAACCCTAATACCTCATATGGAATGTTGTAGGTGCTCAATAAATGTCTGTTCCCTTCTTTTGTGGGAAGAATAATGTGATCTCTGATCCTGTTCTTGAAAGTTTAAAATTTCTAATTCAGGCATTCTATTCTGATAACTCCCATTTATCAGGTGAGGAAACTAAAGCAGAAAGAGGCAAAGGGAATTGTCCGGGGTCACACAGCTAACAGGGAGAAGCGCTGACACTTGAATCTGACCTGCCTACCTCTCAAGGCTTTGTTTTTTCTCCTCTCTGCTATATTGATTCTTAGTAGGTTTTATTGCCCCAGCCCCATGGCCTAGATGGGGGAGATAAAACATGCATTTTCAGGCATTCTAGAAAAGTCTTAATCTGACCCACACAGGCCTGTGTGTGCAGTAGCAGTGCAGCTCAATTCCTGTGTGCCTAGAGAGGCACAGAGAGCATGATCTCCACTCAGACAAGGTTTCTCCTGTCCTTTTGCCACCATCCTCAGAGCCAGTGCAGGGCCAGGCACTAGGCAAGCATTTATCAGACCCAAATGGAAGATGTTCTGGCCAAAGGAGTGGGGTGGAGCTGGGTCTGGAATGACATTCACATGTCACATCCCTAGTGATGGTTAGAGCCCATATTCGAACCAGGAGGCCTGGATCTAAAGCCCAGCCCTACTGTTTGTAGTGGTATGACTTGGGCAAATAATATAACTAGTCTGTGCCTAAGTTTCCCCATCCACAAAATGGAGATGATAATAGTACCTGCTTCATAAGAGTAGAGGTAAGAAATGAGTTACATTATGCAAACCTTGGGACCAGGCCCTGGCACACAGAATTTGCTATGTAAGTGACAACTTTCCTGCAGTTGTCTTCATCAGCATCATGTTTATTCCTGTTGGGAGGATGCGTCCTCAGGCTTCTTGGAGGTCCAGATTCTCTCTAGGGCTGGGGACAAGATGGCTAGAGAGAGTCAGGAGGAAGGGCACTGTCAGAGCAAACAGCACAGGCTTGCACATGCTAGGAGCTTCCTATGTGCTACGCATGATGCCCAACACCCTGCAGGTGCCAGGGGTGCAGCAGATGAGGGGTAGCACATGGCAGGCATTCTTTGAGAGGGGCGGTGCTGTCCCCATATTGTTGACTCAGTGGACCTTTCTTTGTCCAGCTGCAGTTGGAGCAAGAGTCCATGTTTCACATTCCCTTCTGTGTGGAATGAGGGCATATGTAAGCACAAGAAGCCCAAGGAGTCCCTGGCCCCCTTCCTTCACATCCCTTCTCTGCCAACCTGCCAGTTAAATATGTCGGCTTCTGATATAGGAGGGTGGTGGTACCCTAGCCAAGGCTGAGAAAGGTGACAAAACTTTGCTAGGATTAAGCAGTCAAGCCAGCACATGACATCACCCTTGTCTCCAAGTCTTACTTTCTTTGTCTGGAAAAGGGAGTGGTGAGAATTTGCTCAGTATGGGGTCCAGAGAGCTGGGCAGTGAGACAGTATTTTAAAGACCATGAAACAAGGTAAAGGGTATCACACAGTAGATGATGATACTTTCCTTCCCTGTCCTACAGGGCTTGCCTACTGCAGACACCTGTCCACAGTGAGGACCCACTTGTCAGCCCTTGTCAACCACATGATTGTGTCTCCAGACGTGCCCTGTGATGCTGGGCAGGGGCTGACGGCTGGGATCTGGGAGCAGTACCTTCAGGACAGCACAGTAAGCCTGGGCAGGGCTTGGGCTGTAGTAGGGTGGAGGCTTTCTATGTCTTCTGAGGAGTAAATGCCCTTGCTTGTGGGAGCCCAAGGTCCCATGCCTGGGTTGCCCATATGCACATTGAAGGACACTCATATTCTTGAGATTTCCAAACCCACAACTCTGCCTGTTAGGGTTTAAATTGAGAGACTTGGAAACATACACAGGTTAGCATCCCTTATGTGAAAATCCAATCCAAAATGCTCCAAAATCTCAAACTTTTCGAGCACAAACTTGACACCACAGTGGAAGATTCCATACAAGCTACTTGACCTTAAATGACAGGTCAGAGTCAAAATGCAGATACACTAATAGTATCTATATAAAATTATCTTCAGGCTGTTTGTATAAGGTATAAATGAAACACATGAATTGGGTCCCTTCCCCCCAAAATATTTCATTTCATATATGAAAAAATTACAGAATCTGAGAAAATCTGAAATCCAAAACAGTTCTGGTCCCAAGCATTTTCATAAGAGGTGTTCAATCTGTATGCTTTCCTGAGAGTAAAGAATGCATCAGTTAGCATTTATTATTGAGCATTGGCTGTACACTCCATCCTGCACAAGTTTCTGTGACCTGTGTCTAGCTCCATGTAATTTATGGTTTAGGTGAAACTGTAAGAAGAGCACTGGAGTTTGAGGGAGACAGCCAGATCACAAAGACATTTTCTACCACTAGAACTCTTTTCTCCCATCTCCACCTTTGGGCCTGAAGTTCTAAAAATACTTCACCTAAAGGTAGTCATTCCTTAAATGTTTTCTAAAATTTCCTTAGTAAAATTCAGTTTTTTCCTGGAAGGAGAATGTGTTTGAAAAATTTCATCATCAAATGGTTAGGGAAGCCAGGTATGGCAGTGCATGCCTATAATCCCAACACTCTGGGAGACTGAGGGAGAGATTGCAAATATGAGCTCAGCCTGGGCGATTTAGTGACTTAGTGATGCCCTGTCTCACAGTGAAAAATTTTAAAAGAGGCCTGGAGGTGTAGCTCAGTGCAGAGGCACTGGGTTCAATCCCCAGTACTCCCCTGAAGGTTGGGGATTCTTTAAATAGTTTTCTGTATTCAGTGGAACTTCCCAGAACTTTGGTTATGCCAATAACCTGATCACATTCAGGAAATCAGGGGTATGGAGACAAGTGTATAGAACAGTGATGGTGAACTTTTTAGAGCTTTCAGTGATAAAGATAGCCCGCCGTAGCATGTATGCCAAGATTAGCCACCAGTGATGTAAGACATTCTCTCAAATGTATTTGACCATAGGAAACGTGGTTGGAAAAATGCAGCCCATGGCTTTTAGAAGGCAGAACTCACTTTGGGAAGGACTAATTTATGCCAAGAACATGATTTTGGAGAAGGCACCTGTTTCCTCCACGTGGGTGGATCTGTGGCTCTATTGGCTTTGTGCCTTCTGTCCAGGTCTGAAGAAGCCAAACTTAGAAGCACCTGGGATGGGCTGGTTCCCATACCTTGTGAGAAGCTGCTCTTTGAGCTTTCCTAGGGAGTGGGAAAGTTGCCAGGGGACTCGGGGAAAAACACATTGATTCCTAAGCCTGGACTAAAAGAATTATTTTTCTTTTCACCAGAAATAGTTGTTTTTTAAATTATAGGAGTAATGATCTTTTACTGTAGCAATTCAAAGAATAAAGAATGAAGGTACATAAAATTTAAAAATTATCATCTCCATTGTCCCCTGCATGAATGGTCAGTCTCACTTGATGTAGGATGTTCTTTATGTTCCATGTGCTTACCCATAGCAATATCTATATCCTTATACCTTACCTATATCTCTGTATCTGTAAATATAGATATAGAGCAATATGGAGTCATATATAGGTTGAGTGTTCATAGCATATATATATATATAATATATAAGACATTAGATATATAGCTTATCTGTATTTTTAGATACAAATCTACATAGCTATAGCTAGATTTGTATCTGTATATGTATTATACAGGTTATGTTTCTACATCTATTATATCTACATAGATTTGTTACCTATAGCTAGGTATCTATATCTTATTTTTGATCTCTTATGAAATAGATAACTATTATATAGAATATATAAGTAGGTAAATCCTTAGAAAGTATTGAGGTATATAAGTCTGTACCTCAATAATAATTATATCTACCTTACCATATGCTGTATTTTAAAATGTGCTAATGTTATATGTATTTGTATCTTAATTGACCAATTTCTTTTATGTCCACTGAATGAATAGACATCTTCCAGATTTCTAGATGAGATATTGAATGTTAGAACCTTACACCTCATATGAATAGCCCACACTTTACTCAAATCTCCCCCTAGCAACAGACATCTCTTTTTAAACAGTTACTTCAAACATTATTGCAGTTGACATAAGCACGGACCTTTCTGGACTGGTATTTTTATTTCAAGAATGGATTCCTAGAAGTAAAATTGATTGCCATATATTTAAATTTTAAACAGATAAGCACACTTTTTCAGAAGGTCATAAGGTTCATCATCACAGTCTCTGAGTGTGCATGTTTCCTGAGAAATTTAAAACATTTATAGATTACTCAGCTCTACTCCAGCTCAAACTAATTTAGTATCTCCAAGAGTAGAGCCCAAGAATCTATATTTTGAAAGTTCCCCAGTGCTGTGGTGATCTTCCCAATTTGGAAGGCACCAACTGAAGGACAAATCAGTTGAAATAATAAATTGACCAACAGTAATTATTTTTTACCTAACATGTACTCTTCCCAGACTGTTTGGCCACATTTTTACCACTTTTGGTTGCATTGTCATATTAGGTTAGACTAAGCACCGGTAACAGCCCCCCTATTTGAGTTACTGATACCATGAGGTTTTACTCCTTGCTCACTTAACAGTCGTGGATGGACGTTTCTGATGAGTGGGCATCTGTCTCCCCGAGAGATTGAGGCTCCTTCAGCTTGTGATCTCACCATTTTCTGGGCTTTGTGGTCATCTACCTCCCGATAGCAGGAGGGAAAATGGTGAAAGGGAATCTACCTGCTTTTTCCTGTCCTTGGCCTACACGTGGCTTACATTACTTTCACAATTGTCGCAAGTAATTTTCGAACAGCTTCACAAAGCTGTCTATGTAAAACAAGTCAGAATTCCCAAGAGACAAAAGAATGGTTGGTTTTTGTGTTTCAGGTGGTGCATCCAAGACTGGGCTTACCACACGAAACAGGCTTATAATGTTGGAGTATGCAGTAAAGAGGTCGGAGGAAACAGGGCAAGCACGCGTACAGTTGGGGCCTGCAGTTCCCTCAGCTTAGCTAATCCTGACTTTCATTTGCATGAGAATGAATTTTTTAAGTGGGCTTAATAAGCTCCATATGCAATGTAGCACATAGTTATTAATATCATGCTAATGTGCATAAAAGGTATTAGTGTATGAAGTCGCAACTAGATGTGTTCATGTTAGATTAATTCACTGTAGAGTACTTTCCTTAGAGCTGAGTCAAGATGAGTAACTTCAATATAGTATTTCCCAACAGGCACATGAAACATTGACTGAACTTTAAACAGAAATGTTAATTTGTTGTATACTGGCCTTTTAAATTTTCTTTATAAAAGGGGTTCATTCTAGACATGTTTTGTACCTTGTTTTTTTGTTTTTATTTTTCACTTAATACACACAACATCCTTCATATAGTTGCTTATAGATGGACCTCATTCCTTTTTAAATCTCTTGTGGGGTACACATACAGGTACACATAGTCCCCCATTAATAGACAGTTGGGCTGGGGATTTGCCCATATTTGGCTTTTTCCTGTGATGTTCCAGTGTATATCCAGGTACATAGGACTGTATTTATTCATGTAAGGATCTGTAAGACTGCATCTGGTAGGCAAGACTTCTGGGCCACAGAGCCACCCCCGCTTTTCTCTGGACCAAACCCTTTGCTTCCCCCACCACTGCAGAGTTATGAGGAGCAGGAGCTGCTACGCCTAATCTATTACGGAGGTATCCAGCCAGAGATCCGCAAAGCCGTGTGGCCCTTCCTCCTCGGCCATTACCAGTTTGGAATGACGGAGACAGACAGGAAGGAGGTGGGTTAACCGTGATGGATAGCAGGGTCTTTGGCTGCCAAAGGAGCCCAGGTGCTGTGGGGCGAGGGAGCTCTGGTTCCATGTTGAGCCAAGGTGGGCAAGGAGATACGAGGGAGCTGGGATCTCAAGGATAATGTTGTCCAACAGAACAACACTTTCTAAATAAATGTTTCATAGGAGGGTCACAATTTCAAGCCCGGCTTGGGCAACTTAGCCACTAAATAAGACCTTGTCTCAAAATACACCATTAAAAACCAGAACTGGTGCCTCATGCCTGCAATCCCAGCACTTGGGAAGTTGAGACAAGAGGATCACTGGGAATCCAAGGCCAGCCTGGACTGCATAGTGAATTCAAGCCAGCCTGAACTACCTAGTGAGACCCTGTCTCAATAAATAAATAAATGAAATAAAAATTTTGTTAAATTAAGAAGTAGATAGGGGGGTATAGCCTGGAGTTTAATTCTCAGTACTACAAAAGAGCAAAATGATATGAAACAAAAAAAATGGAGACCCTGACTATTCCTTAATGCAGTTTTCCTCAATGGTATCATCTAGCAAAGCTATAACATAGTGCAATAATGCAGTCAGGGTATTGACCTTGGTACAGTAGATCTGTTTGATTCAGTTTCATTTGTACTCCTTTGTGTGTATTTAGTTCTCTTCATTTTCCTCAAATGTGGAGATTTGCGCTCACCACCACAGTCAACATACAGAATATTTCTGATGCTGTAAGGATATTCTTGTCCTTTTATACCCACCCTACCTCCCTCCTAACACCATCCCCAACTCCTGGCAGCCACTAATCTGTTCTCGTTTCCTGCATGTTAAATAAATGGAATCACACAGCATGTAACCTTTGGGATTAACTTTTTTCATTCAGCATCAGTTTCTGGAGCTCTATGCAGGTTGTTGAATCAATAGGTAGATATACCCCAGTGTCATGAGTAGCCTTAGATAGGTAGCTGTGTTTCCAGTTTTTTTACTTTTGTGAACAAAGCTACAGTGGACATGCATGGACAGGTTTCTGTGTAAGCATAAGTTGTCATTTCCCTTGAATAAGTGCACAGTGGTGCAGTTGCTGGGTGGTACAATAGCTCCAAACTGCCACATTCTGGCAGCAGCTACACCCTTTTACATTCCCACCAGCCACGTATGAGTGAGTCACATCTGCATCTTCACCAGAGTTTGGTGCTGCCACTGTTTTTTGTTTTTTGTTTTGGGGGGAGTTTGGGGTTTCTTTGGTTGGTTGGTTTGCTTTGTTCTTTGTTTTTTAGCCACTCTGGCAGGAGTGTAAGTGACATTTCGTTGTTTTGATTTCCTACATGGCTGATGGGGTTGAATACCTTCCTGTGTACTTATTGGCCATCATTTATCTTGGGTGAAGTGTCTGCTCATGTCTTTGTGCATCTTTTTATTAGAATGTATGATTTTTGACTGTTGAGAGTTTTTTTTATACACTTCAAATGATCATTCTTTGTTGGATAAGAGTTTTGCAAGCCCCTGGTTTGTACCTTGTCTTTTCACCGTTGTGACAGGGTCTTCCACAAAACAAAAATTTTTAAACGAGGGCATCATGTGCACTAGGCAGGTGCTCCACCGCTCAGCTCCAACCCCACCCACTTTTAAATTTTTATGAAATCCCCACTGCATGTTTTTACTTTTGTAGATTGTGTTTTTAGAATCAAGTCTAAGAACTTTCTAGCCTTCCCTAGTGTCCAGAGATTTTCCATTTTTTTTCCTAAAACATTTCCTAGTTTTATATTGTACCTTCAAGTCTCTGATTATTGTGAGTTCATTTGTGTGTGTGGTGTGTAATTTAGATTGAGGCTCATTTTTAGGCTTTGGTGTCCTATTGATACAGCACTCTGTGTTGAAAAACTAGCATTGTTCCACTGAGTTGCATTTGCGTCTTTGTCAAAAATCAGTCAGTGTGTTTGGTGTGTCTGTACTTCTGGGTCCTCTATTCTGTTGTATTTATTTCTCTGTCTATACTACTGTCAGTACCACACTGTCTGCATTATGGTGGCACATATAAAATTTTAAATGTTTTAGTAGCCACATTTTAAAACAAAAAGACAGGACTGTTGGGTATAGCTCAGTGATAGAGTACTTGCCTAGCATGTGTAAGATCGTGTGATTTGAATCCCCAGCACCACAAAAAATAAAAGAAAGATGTAATTAATATCTTTAGACATTGTATTTTTAAATGATTATAAGTTCACAAGAAGTTGCAAAAATAATACAGAAATCTTATGTATCTGCCAAGCTCTCCAAGTGGTAACATCCTATGCAATAACAGCACAGTGGGAAAACCAAGACATAATATTGTCACAGTACAACTAACTAGCTAGCCCTAGGCCTTACTACATTCTGAACCATTTTTTGCTTCTGCACACATGTATATGTGTGGGGGTGTGGGGATCCATAATATTTCATCAAGGTGAAATTCATCTCAATATATTTTCTTAAACCAAATATATAATCAGTATAAGAATTCCCAGTGAGGGTCAGGGATGTAGCTCAGCAGCATAAACACCTGCCTGGCAAGTGCAAGGTCCTAAGTTCAATTCCTGGTACAAAAGAAAGAATCACCAATGATATATTTTATACTCATTTTTATTGAGTTTTCAAAATCTGTGGTATTTTATACTATGTACCACCTGTACTTACTTGACATTTGTCTTTTTGAAAAAACTCAAAATACTCCTTACTTATTTTAGAAGATATTTTATATCCCTGCCATAAATAAGAAACCAGTGTGACATACTATAAATAGAAGGAAACGATACATCATTTAGAATAAAACCAAATGATATAATTGAGTTGTAAGTAGATACCATAAAAGAAAGGATTTTGAAGGTTACCAGCACAAAGAATGATAAATGTTTAAGGAGAGGGAAATTACCCTGATTGGATTGCTGCACATCATATACAGGTATCAAATTATCACACTGGGGCTGGGGATTTAGCTCAGTGGCAAAAGCACCTGCCTGGCAAGCGCAAGGTCATGAGTTCAGTTCCTGGTACCGGAGCGGGGAAAAAAAAAATTATCACACTGTACCCCATAAATGTGTACAAATGCAGTATGCCAGTTAAACCTTTGGAAGGGCTAGGGATGTAGCTTAGTGTACCATGTGAATATCATAGGACTTGAATAGTGTGTGTGAAGCCCTGGGTTCCATCCCCAGTACTAAAAGGGAGGTTATCAAGTGTTCAAAAGGTGTTGACCACACAGTAGTACCAGGCTGACACTTTCTCCAGTGGACTGTGAGAAAGTGACACTTTCTCCATCTCCAGTTGGTAGATAGTCAAGGGTGGGAACTTCCTGAGGTTCCATAGGAGAATCTGTGCAGGTGAACTACAGTCACCTCAGCCCTTATGCAGGGCCACCCACATTCATCTCATGTCTGCTGGTGCTGGGCAAATAGTAACTGGGGAGCTGGGTGTCTCCAGGTGCACTAGATGAGCTGCTTGCGAGATATTGGGGGAGAGGGAGTCAGTGGTGTGGTAGAGGCCAACCAGAGGCTGTACAACCACCTGGAGGGCTTCTAAGCCAGGCAGGAGGGGGAGGCTGGCCAAGGAAGACCACTGAAGGAGCTGCTGAGACCCACATTTTTGAAAGGAATTTGCTTTCCAGGCAAGGAGGGAGAGGAGAGACCTCAGGGAAGGAGGACAGCAAGAGCACAGACAGGGAAGGCAGTGTAATGTGTGGTGTGTATCTTTGCGGTTCATGGGGACAGGGGAGAAAGACGTGGTGGACATGAGTTGCTAGAACACAAAGGCCTGGGAATAAGGACACCTCTGAGAGATGAGGCCGGAGAGGAGATGAAAGTGAAGGCTGCTGAGTGGTGTATGAATAGGAGGGGGCAAGTTAGGACAAGCAGAGACCCAGGTGAGGGGCAGCAGAACCTAGCCTAGGATAGCAAAAGGGGAAAGTCCTTGAGCGGCCTCAAAAAGTTTCATAAGGAGCCAGGCCACGGTGGGCAAGTGGGCACAGGCCCCCCCTTCTCTCCTGCCTCCTGCCCATTTGTGCCTAGGCACCTGGAAGATTCAGGTCCTTAGTCACCTAGGCTGTGTGACTCAGAGACAAGGAGAGCCTCCTATGTCTCTGCTGAGATCCCACCCATGTGGAGACAACTTGAAAGTTGTGGCCTTTCTATCAGGCCATGGCTGTGTGGAAAGAAAGCATGTGTTCTTAGCTCTTAGCCCATGTTAGGCATGTGAGAGGCCTTCAGTAGGTGCATTATGTGAGTAGATGGACAAATGGATGGATGGATGGATGGATGGATGGATATTAGGTGGCTCATTTTATATTCTGTATGTCTAACTTGGTGGCTGATGTAATGTAAATACATATCAGATTAAAGGAATGAGTAGATGAATGAATGAGTGAATTAATGAATGAAGAAGTAGAGAAGGAAGGTAGTGAAGAACAGAAACTATTTTCTCACTTTGTTCCCTGCAGCGCATAATAGACTGACACGTAGTAAGGGCTCAGCAAGTAGTCAAATAGAAGTATGAGTGAATGAATGAAGGAAGGGAGAAAGGAATCTTGCCCCTTGCATATCTCATAGCCTAGCCCTCTTAAAGCATAACATAGTAAGTGCTTAGTTAATACCTTCTGAGTGTTTATTAAATGTGTGCTGGATGGCTCAAAGCCATTCTCTTCCAGATGGGACTGGCTCTGCCCAGGGGCCCCAGCCCCTTGGGTGACCTTGCATCTGCCCTGGCAGGTAGATGAGCAGATCCATGCCTGCTATGCACAAACCATGTCTGAGTGGCTAGGCTGCGAGGCGATCGTGCGCCAGAGGGAACGGGAGTCACATGCAGCTGCCCTGGCCAAATGCTCATCGGGGGCCAGCCTGGACAGCCATCTGCACCGGATGATGCACAGGGACTCTACTGTCAGTAACGAGGTGAGGCATCGCAGGCCTAGGGGAGCACCAGGGTGGTGATGGCCAGGGTCTGCTCCATGAGGCTGTTTCTAGAGTGGTGACAGGGGGGTGTTTGGTGCTTTGGGACAGTCTCACCCAAGATTCCAGAGATGTAGGGGGAGCCTCTGGGATCCCGTTTGGGTTTAAGTTCCAGCACTAGCTTTGGGGTCTCTTGCATGCACCTTCTCTGCTGGGCTGTTTCTGCATCCATCAAGTGGAGAGAGGTTTGTGAACACAAACCTTTGTGTTCTTTTACAGTTCTTTTTGAGCTGTACAAAAGGCATGTGTACAGCTCAAACAAGATGGTGTACGAGGCATAATCAAAACATACAATGAATGCAGAAGTTTAAAACTTTTATTACAATAAAAGACACATTTCCATTATCCCCCTGATAATATTCACACACACTTATGCTAACATTGTTGCCACTGTCTGAAGTAGTCATGGAAGTCGTCTTTTGTGAGCGTCTGGTTGCACAATCGTGGCTACCTCTGTGTCCCCAGTTCAAAACATCTATCTTTCATTTTGTCTTTGGGGAAGAACCAGAAATCTTACAGTGCCAGATCTGCAAATGAGTGTATGAGGAAACACACTTTTTATGAGTCTGCCTTTCTGTCAGGTGGCACTCAGCAGCAGCACTCACCACACTTTTAATCACATCTTGTAAAGACACAGAAGAAAACTTCCAGAACTGCTTCAGAGAATGGCAGGAGCAATGGGGTAAGTGTGTTTGAAGTGAGGCAGAATACTGAGGGAGATTAATAGCCATGTGTCTTTTACTGTAATTTATAAAAATTTAAACTATGTTTTGATTGCCTAGTGTATATAGATACCAAGCACAGTGTAGCAACAGATGCTTACTGAATACCTACAGTACGCCAGGTACTATCAAGAAAGAGCCAGTAGTGAAGCAGATGTTTCGGGGCTCACAGAACCTCAGCTGAATGCCCACAGCAGGAGCTCAGAAACACTTAATTCTCCTCAACAGGATTGTTACGTCCTCAGTTGCCACAGCAACACTGCAAAATAAAAACCACCCAAAACCAGAGATTTCCGTCCATCCACATTGTGCTCAGTATTTTTGCCCTTCAGTCTGTGGATGGGCACCTTTGCTCCAGGCTGGGCTGACGCAGCTGTCAGTGGCCCGTCACCTGCAAAGTTGTTGTTGATTGTGCTGTCTGCCCCACGTGGGGCTTGGCGCTGCTCAGTGCGTCTTATCCTCCAGCAGGATAGCCCAGGCTGCTCTCATGGGGAAAGCAGATGCCAGGGAGAGAAAGCAGAAATGCACGAGTATTTTAAGTTTCTGCTCTGTCAATCCATTGACCAAAGCAAACCACATGACCAAGCCCAGCCTTAGGGTGAGCAGACACCGTGGAATTAGAGGACAAAAGGCATGTATACAGGGAATGGGTAAAACATTGAGTTAGTGATAGAACCAGTTGCTCCGAGTGAAAGTAAAATATCAGCCAGAAGTCTTAAGTTTAACAAAGACGCTAAAAGTGGGGTGCTCTGCTTGCCACCAATAGGAGGTAGGAACCCAGAGGCCAAAGTAATCCCTAAAGAGGCTCCTGGGAGCAGGAGTGGTCTCTCCTTTCTTTTCATTTGACAACTAGGAAGCTGAGACCCTCAGAGGGGACTTGTCCCAGCCAAGAGTAAAGCTGGGAAGGAGTTCTTGGCTCAGAGCCCAGCTTTCCCTCCTGAGCAGGGTGGGAGAAGCCTCACCCACTCGCCCTCCAGCTTTTTTTTCTTTCAGTCCTCCCAGAGCTGCAGTTCGGGCCGCCAGAACCTCCGCCTGCAGAGTGACTCCAGCAGCAGCACACAGGTACCTGTCCAGCGGCCCTGGCCCCACCTAGGATAGTGAGAACTGGATCTCTGTCTTCTACTGGCCACTTTTTGGTTTAATGTGTTTTTAGCTTTTAATGCTAGCATTTAAAAGTGGATTTTTTAACAATACAGTACAGTCTACCAACTTTATGAATCTATCCTCCCTGTAAGGTATTAAAACATTGCAGAGAAAGCTAAGCAGACTTCTCTTCCTTCACCTCACATGCCCTGCTTTGAAATAACACCACTTTGAACAGTCTGCTGTATCCTTTCCACACCTTCCACATGCTTTCACATATGCAGAAGTATGTCGATAAAGTAGAACAACAGTTGATAATTTTTAAAAATTTCTACATAAACGCCATCATGTGTATATGTTTGGTAGTTTTCCATTTTAGTCCATGAAGAAATAATTCACTAATATTCAAGAGAAAAATGAGTGCAGAAGTGTACCTAGTACATCATCTGTTGCAAAAAAAAAAAAAAAAAGGAAATAATTTGAAGGTAAAAATTAATTTGGATTTAGAAAAAAATTTACATAAGTTAAATCAATCAAAAAGAAGTACTTAAAACACAGACATGTAGCTCAGTGGTAGAGCACTTTCCCAGCATGTGAAAGGTCTGGGTTTCATGCCTAGCACTGCAAAAATACAAAACAAAACACAAGAGACAGACTGTAAATCCAATTGAAGGGATAGGGCCTACAGACACAAAGAATCACAAATAATAAATCTTTAAAATGGATTCTGGAAATATTTTCATAGTATCCCTATATAGTTAACTGGTTTTGAAAATTGATCCGTAATAGCCTACCACGTGGATATAGTAAGTTTTTAGCCTGTTTCTTACATTAACTTTTTACTTAGAAAAAATTATGTGCACATGGTGAGAGCTTATATGACAAAATTACTCTCCCAGTGCATGATGGATTCTGTGCCTGTGCAGACCCCTACTTTCTTTGTCACAAGTGGAGGCTCACATCAGGCCTTGTTCTCCCTCGCCCTTCCCACTGGTAGGGTAACCTTCCCCTGCATGTGTGTTCATCCTGAAGCCTGCCCCCTGGTGTTGGATATTTGTGTTGCTGCTATATGTGGTGCTGCCATGCACATCCTAGCCCATCTGTCTTTGTGTGTGACTTGTCTACAGGTGTTCGAGTCCGTGGATGAGGCTGAGCAAGTGGAAGTAGAAGGCAGGTTGGAGGAGAAACAGCCCAAGATCCCCAACGGGAACGTGGCAAATGGCACTTGCTCCCCAGATTCTGGGCATCCTTCTTCCCACAACTTCTCCTCCGGCCTCTCCGAGCACTCAGAGCCTAGTCTGAGCACAGAAGACAGTGTGTTGGACGCCCAGCGGACCATCCCCCCTGTGCTTCAGCCTGGGGACAGCAGCGTGGATGACGGGCAGAGCAGTGAGGCCACCACTTCCCGGGATGAGGCCCGTCGGGAGGAGCTGGCTGTGCAGGACAGCCTGGAGAGCGACCTTCTGGCCAATGGGAGCATGGATGAGTTCATGTCCATCACTGGCAGCATGGACGTGGTCCTGTCTGAAAAGGATGGTGCCACAATGGAGGGCTGGCAGGGTGGGGAGGAAAAGCACAGCCAGGTGGACAGTGAGGACAACCTCTCAGAGGAGCCGGAGATGGAAAGTCTCTTCCCTGCTCTGGCTTCTCTGGCTGTGACCACTTCTGCCAACAGCGAGGCATCCCCTGTGTCTTCCAGTGGTGTCACCTACTCTGTAAGTCACCAGGACTCTCTTCTACCCAGTTGTTTTTACCTCCTGCTGGGGTGGAGGGGGGCGGCGGGTAAGAGATGTACCACAGCCTCATTTATTGAGAGTGACCCAGGAGTGACAGCACTGGTTTGTTCCATTTTACCTGTCATGGAGGAGTCACTGTAAAAACTATTTTGGGAGAGAGAATAATATAGGTTGAACCCCTCAAATTCAAAATCTGGGGGCTGGGGATCTAGCTCAGCAGCACAAGTGCCTGCCTGACAAGTGCAAGGTCCTGAGTTTGATTCCTAGCACCAAAAAAAAAAAAAAAAAAAAAAAAGACCCTGTCCAAAATCTGAAATGCTCCAGACTGAGCTCAGTGACATGTACCTGTCATCCCAATCATTCTGGCATCTGAAGCAGGAGCTTCATTTGGGCCTGTGAATTCAAGACCAGCCTAGGCAAATAGGAAGAGCCAACTCAAAAAATAAAAACAAAAGTGCTCCAAAATCTGAAATTTCTTGAGCACCTAATTGACACCACAAATGGAAAGTTTCACACCTGATTTTGTACGATATTTTGCAGTCAAAATGCACATTTACCATATTGTATAAAGTTACCTGCAGGCTATGTGTATAAAGTGTATATGAAACATCAATGTGTTTCATTTTTAGACTAGGTCCTATGCCCAAGAATACCTCACTGTGTATATGCACATATTCCAAAACTCCAAAATAATCCCAAATGCTCTTATCCCAAGCATTTCAGATGAAGGATATTCAATAGGCAGAGTATTTAAAAAGTGTGGTCTAAGCCAGGCATAGTGACACACATGTAATCCCAGCTTTAGAAGACTTGAGGCAGGAGAATCTCAAGTTCATGGCCAGCCAGGGATATAGAGCAAGGCCCTGTCTCAAAACCAAAAACACAGCCTTTGCAGTGAACAGTTTTGGATTTAAACTCTTAACTTTAGCACATCACTTTAATCTTTCTGTGCCTGTCTCCCTGTCTGTCTAGTACCTTCCTTCCCTAGTTATTTTTTATCATGCTGAACTCCTATGTGTTTGTCATATAGTAAGCACTGGATTGGTGGCAGTCTTGATACGTGTCAGGGTTTTGGCTCAGATCAGATAGCCTTTAAATATTCGAGTTTTGTTTCTTGCCAGAAAGTCAAAGCCAGAGGATATCAACTGAAAGAGAAGTTTTTCTGAGCCAGATACCGTGTATCCATTTTCTTTTAAAGAACTTATTTCTACCAAAGATCTACAACCCCAAGTTAAGAATCAAACACTACAGAAAGCCAGATGTCAAGCTGTGCACAGTGGCATGAAGTTGCAGTTCTAGCTGTTGAGAAGCTGAGGCAGGAAGATTGTTTGAGCTCAGGAGTTCAAGGCCAGCCTGGTTATAGCAAGAACCTATCTCCATAGCAAGAACCTATCATCTCCAAGGAGGGAGGAGGGTGGAAGAGAAAAAGGAAGAAAGTTGGTTAGTTTTTCTAAACTTCCATAGAAGCATTTATACTACTTGTCCTACCCAAATTATTGTCCTACCCCTGTTGATTTTGTCCCATATCTTAAACATTCTTGCATTGCTACTACTTGCTCTTTTTTTTTCAGTCTTAAAAAGTATCAGTTGACCCTCACTGTGGAAGAGGAGGATTTAGCTCCCATTCCTTCTATCATGCGAAGCCATCCCCTGGCCCATTTTTCTCTCTCCAGAGACTGACGGAATCATTCTTTAAAGACTATTCAGTGCTTAAGTTGTTGTAACACTATAATGTCTCAGCCATGTAGCACACTGTTGATTTATTTTCTTTCCTGCAAAACAATAGTATTGTTTTTCCTGGATGTGTTTTCATTTTCTTGTCTGTTTCTTTTTCTTAATTTGCTATATACTTATTAATTCAATGCTCCAAATTCTTTGCCAGTTCTCTGAATCTCTCAAAGCCAGACACATCAGGCTTTCTGTTCACTCTGTATGTCTAAGGAATTTTCCCCAATTGAGAACAATCCCTTGTACTGCTGTGCACTTGTCACCCGTGACCTCCTTTCCCTGTCCTCTGTAGGTTCCGTTCACTTGACTCCTGTTCCCTAGGTCTCATGCTTTCCTGTTTCTTAGTTTATCCCCTCATCTAGGTGGAGCATAGACCTCAGTGGCTTCCACGTTTTGCTTTTCACATCTTCTTCCATCCTAGGCACCTTAGTCTGGGATGCTGGTGCATTCTTTAGCAGCGATCTCTCCACTTGGGCTTTATCCCAAGTGGCATTTATTGTGCCCATTCCTGAAAGATATTTTTACCAGATATGCAACTTTAGATTGCAGTTATTTTTTCTCAGCACAGATGGTCCCCCACTTATGATGGTTTATGACTTTTTCACTTTACAGTGGTACAAAAGCGATATGCTTTCAGTAGAAATCATACTTCAGGATTTGCATTTGGCTCATTTCCTGTGCTAATGATATGCATTGTGACCCTCTCATGATGGCATGTAGTGGTCATAGCTGTAGCACCCACTGAGCCCTGAACTGAGGAGAAACGGCTGGTGCTGCACTGTGCCCTGAGTAGCTAAGCTAGGATGTTCGGTAGGTTACCTGTACTCAGTGCATTTTTGACTTAAAACATTTTTCACCTTACAAAGTATGTATCAGGTTGTAACTCTGTGGTAAGTCAGGGAGCACCTGTACTCTTTTGAAGATACAGTTTTATTTCCAAATTCCATTTTTACCATTGAAAAGTAAGGAAGATAGCCTTTAAAGATAACCTCCTTTTCTCTGTGACTATTTTAGGATTCTCTTTTTGGCATTGTGTGTCATGTATCTAGATATGGATTTCTTTTTATATTTCCAGGCCGATAGTATGTTGGGCTTCACATGCCTGCAAATTGATGTCTTCAGTCAGTTCTGGAAAATTCTCATCCTATCATTTATGCAGCTGTTGCTCCTTCCTCGTTTTCTCTACCTGCTGCTCTGATTAAATGTTTGTTAGACTTTTTCACGCTACCCTCCATGTACATTATTTCTCTTCATTTTACCATTTCTTTGTCTAAATCTGGAATAGTTTCCTCAGATCTCTTTTCAATTTACTAAGTCTCTTGAGTGTCTGATTTTCAGACTGGGAATGTAGTTCAGTGATAGAGTACTTGCCTAATATGCATGAAGTCCTGGGTTCCATCCTTGGCAGCTAGCGCCCAGCGCCCAGCACCCAGCACCCAGCACCGTAAGAAAAGAAGAGAGTATCTGATTTTCTACTACCTGTCTGAGTGCTTAATATGTTTTTTAAAATTGCTTTTGGCTTTTCTCCCAAATATGCTATAAAGTGACCTGCTTGATCATTTTACAAACTCTTAGTCTTATCTTTAGCCTCTTTGATTTCTTTAAATATATCAAACAGACTCATTTTAATTTTATCCCTGGTACTTCTAATAACAGAGCCTCTCAAAGTTCCAGCTCTGCCTTCTTGTATTTATCCTGTCATTTTCAGCGCTCTTCCTCCAAATATTTTGTGATTTTTTTTGAACATGGGCTCATTTTTCACAGGTTTTCTCTGTTGCACTGTCTGCCTAGACGGCAGATCATTTCCTTAAGAAAAGGATTTATTTTGATTCATCCTGGCACCAAAGGTATAGTAAATCTGAAATGACTTTAGACTAAAATTTCTAATCTTTCAGGCTACCTAGGTGGAAGCTTGGATTATAAACCTGCCTGAATTATAAGCCTGATTTGTAGCATTTACTCATCCAGAGAGCTATCTTCTACATTTAATTTGGCACCTGGGTTCAAGGTGCAGTGAATTATGTTTGGGCCCCAGAATGTTAGCAGGATTTTTTCTAGTCTTTCCTTTCCTTGAGGCCCTGTTTTTCTTAGGAAAGGTCTTTTAGACTCCTCACTGTGGCAAGGGGCACAGATAATTAAATGTAAGCATAAGTTTTCCTGGTTTGGCAGCATCCCTCAAGGCAGAAGCCAGATTTGGTATTTTCTTACTTTTGTAGATTGCTTTTGGGCCCTAAAATGTTTCTTACTTTCTTGCTGTAACGCTGGGCCATTCCATCCAGGTTCCTGGTCAAGGCATCTGGTCTGATACAGAACTGGACGTGGACTCCAGCTCAGTTCCTTCATCCTTCCTGTCCAGTTTTCAGCAGAGAGGGTTGCACTTCCAGCTACAGTGGTAACCATCAGTCTCAGTTTTGTTTTGTTTTGTTTTTTTATTTTTTTTAGTCTCAGTTTTGTTATCTAAAAAAAGGATATAATTTATGTACCTAATGAGGATGTTTTATTTTAGAAAGAAATAAAAAGAATTTACATCATACACAGGAAAAGGCTTTCCCAGAAAACATACACATAAGCAAACAGAATCAAACGCCTAACAGGTCCCAATGTGAGATGTTCTTTTCATTGTCCCCAGGAAAGAGCCAGTAGGAGGAGAGAGGATCTGTCCCTAAGTGGGGAGTTCGGGTGTAGTTTTTCTTTCTTGCCCTTCTGTGTACTGTAGCCTGAGCTGCTGGACCTGTACACTGTTAACCTGCACCGCATCGAGAAGGATGTGCAGAGATGTGACCGCAACTACTGGTACTTCACACCTGCCAACCTGGAGAAGCTGCGCAACATCATGTGCAGGTGGCTGAGGCTGGGGGAAACCTGGGAAGAGGATGGCCTGGGTGGGTCAAGTGGGACTAGCGGGAGCCCAGGTGGAACTTACTGCAATTAAATTACAACAGCAATACAAACCAGTTATTTTTTGAATTGTTACTGATTTTATTAATAAAGCCAAAATACGCTGAGCAGTGATTACAAACCAATTATTAAGCACCCACTATATACGAGGCACTGTCCTGAGCCCTTTGCTACCATCGGGTCACTTAGTCCTCCACTCTGAAAAGTAAGTATTAACCCCTTTGCTGGCTGAGGATATGGAGTCTTGGGGCACACGCGTCAGGTGCCCTGGCTAGGCAGGAACTCAAAGCCAGAGCTCTCTGGCTCTAGGTCAAGATCTAAGGCTCTTCTTTAGGTCAAGATCTAAGGCTCCTTAACACTGTTCACTAAGAAATGTTTTTTGGCATTTCTTAAAATATGAAAGGAACCATAAATATTAAAAATCTAAATCAAACCAGGTGAGGTGGCGGCGCATGCCTATAATCCTAGCACTCTGGGAGACGGAAGCAGGAATATTGCAAGTTCAGTCCAGCTGTAGTAACTTTAGGAGCGCCTGTCTCAAATAAAAAAATAAAAGGGCTGATGTTTTAGTTCAGTGTGAAGGCTCTGGGTTCAATCCCCAGTCTCCCTCCCAAATCACAAAAGAAATCAGAAGTTCATAGGTAGAGAGACTTCTTTCATCTGCGCCCATCAGTGCAGCTCACCCAGAAGTCTTGACTGCTAACAGGTTAGTAAGTATTTTCCACAGCCATACAGGAAGCCCCTGACTTATGAACAAGTTCCCTTCCAGGAAAATCTGTTCATAAGTCGGATTCGTTTATCAGCCAACAAAGTGAGTCTCATACAGTACACCTGTGAAAAGTTTGCAACTCAAATGTGTGTAAGTCAGGAACTTACTGTCTAGTACAGAATTGACCATATATTGTATAATACAATATGAATGAATTGTGCATTATATAAGAACACTTTTTAATGTTTTAAAGCAATAGAATGGTACACTTAAAGTGAAAAAGTGTTGAGAAGGAAGAGGAAGAGTGGACCTACTTTTGCAGGCCTCTGGACATAGGGAAAAATCACAGGTTTCACAGAGATGGTGACTTTCCATAGATTTTTGACAGAGTTAAGAAAACCTAAAGAAACCATTTAACATCGTGTTTAAAATCATACACTCTCCAGGGGGTATTTGTGGTTCTCATACTGTCTCTGCACCTACTAAGTATATGACTTCAGTCATGTGATTTACCTCTGTGTGTCTCACTCTCATCTGTGAAATGTGATCATAGTGATATCTGTGTCATATGATTATTTTGAAAATTAGAATGTGTATCTGTAGTGGGTTGCTTATTCAGTAAGTACTCATTAAGGTATTGTCAGTAAGAGCCTGACCAAATTCCACAGAGGGAGGTGCTGGGGCAAAGCCACAGAAGCACACATGTGTGGTTTCCCTGTACGTAGTGAACGCCCCATGCGGCTGAAGAGGAAGCGGCACTGGGAAGTGCTGCGTGAGGCTGTGAAGAGTGTGGGGGACTCTGCTTGTCTCGTGCCCAACAGAGGAGTCTCCGCCTGAGGGCAGGAGGCCGGTGCAGGTTCTGAGTCTTGCTGGTGACTACATGTAGGATGTGTGCAGTGAGGCTGACGGGCATGCCCGCACTGGGTTGAGGGAGCAGACCTGGTGAGGGAAGGGTGAGTAGGCTGGGAGGCAGGTTGGTGGTGCTGTCCATCTCTGAGCCCCTTGTGTTACTCACAGCTACATCTGGCAGCACATTGAGATCGGCTATGTCCAGGGCATGTGTGACCTTCTGGCTCCACTGCTGGTCATTCTGGATGATGGTGAGTGTGTCTTCCCTCCCCGGGGTGAGGGTGCACTGTCCTTTCCACTGCGTGCAAGAGTCCCTTTCACTTTGCGGCTGCCTGTAATGAGCCAGGAGAAGCACTCAGAAACCTGTCTGCCCCAGAGAAATAAAGAGCCTTTCTATACCATAGTACCCCACACTCAGACATGGCCAGGCCTTGCCACCCATTGATTGTACAAATGTAAATGAGCCCACATACCTTTGCTTATGAGTTCTGTCAGACATTTAGGAAGATTCAGTATGAATTCTTCACAAACACTTCCAATCCCTAGCACCTCTAAATAAATAAAGAAAGAAGTAAAGACATATGAAAGGAAGAAAACAAGAGAAGGCTTCCTAACTCATTCTGTGAGGCTGGCCTTCATGTAAGGTGGGTTCCTTATTGTTACCCTGATGGCCATATCAGATATCACAAGAAATTACAGACCAGTATGCTTCATGAATGTAAATGTAAAAATCCTCAACAGGATACCAACAGGCTAAATCAGCAACTGTAAAGAGGGTCACACAAGACCCACTTGGGGTTTTTAGGACAATGGATGCACCTCGACACCATAATGTTAAGTGAAATAAATCAGACACATAAGCTTAAATATTACATGGTTTCTGTTAAATGAGAAACGCAAAATATAAATAAAGAGCAAAATAAAAAATAGGAAGATCTTTCTCAGAGGAAAAGGGAATGAAGATTGAAGGGGGAAGGAGAAAAGGGAGAGGATGAGTAAAGGAATTAAGATACGTTATGTTAATGTACCAAGTCCCCACAAATAATGTAAGCATTATGTACTACAAACGTGTACTAATAAAAAAGCAAAGTAACACAATAACTGGCCCAAAATACAATCATCTCAGTTGACGTAGAAAATCATATCAAAATTCCGTGTCTTTCATGATAAAAAATACTTGACAAACTAGTAGAAGGAACTTATTTACCATGATAAATGGAATCTATGAAAAACCCACAAATAATATGGTACTCAATGGTGAAATGTTGAACACTTTCCTTTAAGATCAGGCACAAGGCAAATATGTGTCTTATTTTTGCCACTGTAGGTTCAAGCAGGGGCATTTGAGGAAAAATAATTGGGAAGGGACTAAAACTATCGCTATTCACAGGTGATACAACTTACATATAGAAAATTCTAAGGAAAAAAAAGAATAATTGAGTTAATCAAGGTTGCAGAATGCAAGATCAGCACACAAAAGTCTGTTGTATTTCTATGTGCTCCAAATAAAATCCCAAAATGGAAATTAAGGGAAGTTCCATTTGTAATAGTACCTAAAAGAATAAAAATGAATAAATTAACAAAAGTGCAAGGTTTGTGCATTGAAAACTATAAAACATTTTAGAAAAAACTAAAGTGCAATATATTTCAGTATTCTCATCTGCCTTGTTTGCAAAAACTGATAAACTGACCTTAAAAGTGACATGGAAATTCAAGGGTTTCAGCATAGCCAAAACTATTTTGAAACAAAAGAAAATGTTCCCAATTTCAAAACCTAATTCAAAATCAGAACAGTACAATAATCAGAACAGCCACAGTAATCAAAAACTGTATATATTTACCCAAGGATTGGCATATAGATCAATGGAATAGAATTGCAGGTCCAGAAATAAGCTTTTATGTCAGTGGTCAACTGATTTTGACAAGGCTGCAAAGACAGTAAAACTCAGTGGGGAAAAAAATAGTCTTTTCAGCATACAATGGTGGGACAAGTGATATCCCTATCCAAAAGATTGAACTTAAACCTCTGCTCATAACACATGGAAGGAGCTAACTTGAAACACATTACAGGCTTAGATGTAAGAAAAATTATGTAATTCTTAGAAAACATAGGAGAAAATCTTTGTGACCTTCGGTTAAGCAGTGGTTTCCTAGATAAAACATGGTAACTATAACTGATGAAAGAAAAAATAGGAAAATGGGACTTTATCAAAATTAAAGCTGTTGTGCTCCAAAGGACTATCATAAAAGTGAAAAAAATCATAAGAATGGAAAAAAATATACAAGTCTTACATGTGTTAAAGAACTTATACCCAAATACATAAAGAACTCATAATTCAACAATAAAAAGATAAACTAAATTTAAAATGGGTAAAAGATTTAAGTAGACATTTCTCCATGGAATCAGAGACAAAAATAGCCAATAACTGAATTAAAAGTTGCCCAGCATCATTAGTCAATAGGAAGATGCAAATCAAAACCAGACTAAGACCTGCTTCACGTGCACTAGGATGGCTAGAGTCAAAGCAGTGGAAAGTGGCACATGCTGGTAAGAATATGGAGAAAGTGGTGGCTTCCTACATTGCTGGTAGAATTGTAAAATGATTTGGCCAGTTTGGAAAACAGTCTGGCTAATGGTTACTCTTAATATTAAATGTAGAGTTAGCATGTAACCCTGCAGTTCCACCCATAAGTGTATACCTAGGAGAGTTGAAAACATATACAGCATTATTCCTAACAGTCCAAAAGTGAGAACAGTCCAGTGTCCATCAACCAAAGAATGCATAAAGCAAAATGTGGTATAATCTCTATGATGGAATATTATTTATCAGAAAAAAAAACAGTGTTCTGGTTCTTGCTATAATATGGATGAACCTTGAAACATTATGCTAAATGAAGACCACATACTGTATTATTCCATTTATATGGAAAGTCATGAATTAGCAAATCCAGGGAGACAGATAGTAACTAGAGGTTGACACAGACTAGGGAGAGGAAAATTGGGAGTGCCTACTACATAGGTTTCCCTTGGGGGTGAAGAGTGTTCTGGAAGGAGATGGTGGTGCTGGTCACATAACATTGTGAGTGTACTGACACCACTAACTTCTACATCTGAAAGGGTGAATACTACAGTATGCAGATCTAAATGAGGCTTGAAAATGGGGAGCATAACCCCCTACACCTTAGAGGTGGGCTTCAGATAGTGACATCCTTACAAAAGGGACAGTGTGAGAGGGAGGGAGGTGGCAGTGTTGAGAGAAACTTAGCAGCAGAGAAACATTGGGACAAACACTACCACAGTCAAGTGAAGGCTCTAAAAATAGTCTTCAAAAAATAAATGAGGCAAATACCTGTAATCCTAGCACTCTGGGAGACTGAGGCAGGAGGATCAGAAGATCAAGCCTGGGAAACTAAGCAAAACTCTGTCTCACTATGCAGTTCAGTCTGGCCTCTAATGCACTATGTAGCCCAGGCTGGCCTTGAACTCATGGTGATCCTCCTACCTCAGCCTCCTGAGTGCTAGAAATTACAGGCCTGTACCACCATGCCCAACTTCAAAACAGTATTTTTTTTAAATGGAGTGAGGGTAGGGGGACCTGAATATAGCCCTTGGGAAAACTTTCAGTCTAGTGTAGTTCCCCTGAAGTTATTTTTAAGAGGAAGGAAAAACCTATCATTTTAAAGTAAGTTTTTGAAACAGATTCCTTTATTGCAGGTCTTGTCAGCACCTTCACTTTCTTAATATTTGTAATCATAGATACTCTAAGCAGCAGATACGCCAGACAGCATTTTCCAAAGTCATTTGACCCTTTCTTTGCATGTTGAAAAAGCCCTTCTGATGTTGACAGTAACTTTTGAATACAGTGATTCCTAGACTGGAGAATTTCATGAACCAGTAAACTTTCTAAAAAAATAAAAAGAAACCAGGCATGGTGGCACATGATTGTAATCCCAGCACTCGGAAGGATGAGGCAGGACCATTGGCTGTGAGTTCCAGCCTGGCCTTTACAGTAAGTTCAAAGCCAGCCTGAACTACATAGCAAGACCCTGTCTTAAAAAAAAAAAAGAAGAAAAAAAGTTTGGGATCAACAAAACATGGCCAGTTTTTTACTGTTTAGCAAATTGAAGTCTTCCTTTACAAAAAGCATCTGAGCTGGGATTGGTGGCACACACCTGTAATCCCAGCACTCTGGAGGCTGAAGCAGGAGGATTGCTATGAATTTGAGGCCAGCCTGGGCTACATAGTGAGTTCAAGGCCAGCCTGAACTACATATCAAGACCCTGTCTCAAAAAAACAAAAAATAAATAGAGCATCTGCTGTCACCATGTTTTTCTAAACGAGGATAATCCAATACCTCTAAGGTGAGAAGTATGTAATTTACTTTAGATCAGAGAGCGTCTGAACAGAATTTACTTGGCCACATGTTTCTCCTTTGGGTGTGGATTTCGTGCATCAGCTCTGAAACTTGAGAATTTCATGAACGTGGAAGCCTGTGGGAGCCTGTGTCCCACATGCAGTGGTACAGCTGACTGTCCTGTGCTGCTCCCCCAGAGGCCCTGGCCTTCAGTTGCTTCTCAGAGCTCATGAAGAGGATGAACCAGAACTTCCCCCATGGGGGCGCCATGGACACTCACTTTGCCAACATGAGGTCCCTGATCCAGGTAGGACTCAGTCTTCTGACTCTTTGGGGAAATAGGAAGTATATCTGAGTGGCTTAAGATTGAATGGTGTGAAGCCACCCTGAGTTTGATTACTGTTTATGCTGCTTGCTAGCTGGACAACCTCAGGCATATGCCCTTATCTCTCTGAGTCTGTTTCCTCATCTGGAAAGTAGATTACGTTCCCATGTATATCATTCTCAATAAGTTACTATGGTTATGGAGTTGAAATAAACTAATGTGTTTATACACATTGCCTGCCACTGCCTCTCAGAGTCTAACCCATGACTCAGCAGCAGTAATCCCACCTGATAATTTATTAGAAGTGCAATTTAAATTGGACAAGGTAGCACATTCCCCAAATCCCTCCACTCTGGAAACAGGCAGGAAGATCACAAGTTAGAGCCCAGCCTGGGCAACTTAGTGACTTACTGAGACCTTATCTCAGAATAAAAAGTGGGGCTAGGATGTAGCACAGTGGCAGAGCACCCCTGGCTTTGATCCCCACTACAGTTAGTCCATCAGGCTGAAGATATAGCTCAGTATGGAAGCCCTAGGTTCAAGTCCCAGTAGCACCATAAAAATAATTAATTAATTAATTTTTAAGAAGGAGAAGAAGCGGGGCTGGGGATTTAGCTCAACAGCACAGCACCTGCCTGGCAAGTGCAAGGTTGTGAGTTCAATTCCTAGTACCAGAAAAAAAAAAAAAAAAAACCATAAAAAAATAAAGAGAAGAAAACGTAAATCACTATTGCCTTTCCTCCTGAATCAGAGTCTCCAGGCATTCGGCCCAGCCATCCATGGTCCCTGAAACTGTCCATGTGACTTCTGAGGAAGCTTGAGCTTGAGAAGTCCTGTGGTCAATGATAGCTCCTTAGCACGCATCATAATTAGTGTATCTACTTCCCAGGGAAATTGAGACATTCCTCCCTTTGAATAGATGGACTAGAAATATATTAACACAGGTAAATGACAGAGATACGTTATCTTTACCAACAGTGAAGATACAGCAGTAATCAAATTAACTTTGATTTATTTTGGGGAGTTACAAAAAGTATTACAGAATATTTTGGATATCATGTTTTCACCTCACTTACTCAAAAGCGTAGATTTTCAACTTTCATTTCCCCATCCCCATGTCTGTCCTCCCAGTGGGAATTGTCCTGCCAGAGGTGGCATGTGGAGGCCCAGTGACAAAGATTGTGAAGGACAGCAAGACCTGTTCAAAAAATTACCAACAGTCAAGAGATATAAGAAAGACCAGACTTTATTCAGATTAGGATACAGTGTCAAGAGGGACAGTGGGCACATTTCCAAGAGAGGAATCACAGAGGGTGACAGAGTAGGATTTTATAAGGGGTTGAAGATGTGGGAATAGATCTGAGTTAGCAAAAATAGGCATCTCAGAACCATTTTCTTGCCAGGTGTTGTGGTGCATGCCTGCATTCCCAACACTTGGGAGGCTGAGGCAGGTGAGTCACCACGAGTTCAGGGCTAGCCTACCTACATAGCAAGACCCTATCTCAAAAAAACAAATAAAAAAAGTCCATTACCCAGGATATCCTGTTCTTGTTAATCTTTCAGGAACATCTTTATTATATCTAAAGTTGTGTGTCAGATTGCAACTTGACCAGGTCATTTACTTTAGCCTCACAGGGAGAAAGGTTTATTTTTATCTCCTGCTGGTTTGTGTCAGTGCTAGTGCATTATCTCATGATTGCTTACTGGAGGATTGTTTTAAAGGGGTATTTTTACCCTTTAAAACAGGGTTTTAACCCTTTTGTTGCCTGTGGTTAATCACCACAGGAATCACTTTCAAGAATGTGACATTCATCACCATCACATATTTGGAACCCCTTCTGCTGCATGTGCACACATCCCTGAACAACTGACAATTTTGTTTCCCAAGCTCCCCAACTTTATACATAAGTAATTCTAAGTAGTCTGAGTGCTGCAGCTGTTCTTCATGCTCACTATCAGGCGTGAGACCCTCTTGAACAGCAGTGTATTTCCTTCCTTCTTTCCTGAAGCACACACAGTCTTGCATTGGGTGTTCTTCCCATTGTCTCCCATTTTATTTATATCCATTTTCCTGTTGAGGGACATTTGAATTGTTTCCACTTTATTTTATTTTGGAGAATTTGGGGCTTTCATTTTGGCTTTTTCAAGCTGTGCTGCTTTGAAATTCCTGTGCACCTGTCCATCTTCTCATGCACACATGCAAGATCTTTGCCTGAGCGTGCACCTGGAGCGCATCTGAGAGACCAGGGATGTGTGCACCTTCAGCTTCATGAGACAGGGCTGCATCACTCTCCACATTGGCTGTACCAGTTTCCATACTCGAGCACAGTGTATAAAGGTCTTCCATACAGTCCATCCTCACTTGCTACTGTCATGCTTCTGAATTTCTGCCAGGCTGTTGAGTGTGATCAGAGCACCTCGTGATTTTACTTGCATTTTCTTGATAGTTAAAATTAATATCTTTTTTATTTTCTTTTGATACATCATTTGGATTGCTTTCTGTGAATTGCTTGTTCGTACATTTTGCCCATTTTTTATGCATATTTTTCCGTAATTAGAATCATACTGTACATATTTTTCTTTTGTGCATGCCATTTCAAACCTGCTACCCTACCCCCACCCCTTGTGGTACTAGGAATTGAACCCAGGTCCTTTGGGCTCATATTTGTGATCCTCCTGCCTCAGCTTTTCTGAGTGCTGGGATTACAGGCATGCACCACCACATCCAGTGCCCACCCCACCCCACCCTTTTTTTTTTTGCAGTACCAGGATTGAACTCACGACCTTGCGCTTGCCAGGCAGGTGCTTATGCCACTGAGCTATATCCCCAGCCCCCTACCTCCTTTTTTGAACAGCATAACTCACAGCTGTAGATACTTTTCTAATACTTGTCTTTGTAATAACAATTTTGTTGAGATATAATTCAGATAACCAAAACACGCACCCTTTTTAGTGTACAATTTTAGTGACTTTTAGTATATTCACAGTTATGGGACTGTCACTGATTTTAGGACATTTTTACTCCAAAAAGAAACTATGGACTCTGTAATAATCACCCCTCATTTCCTCCCTCTCCCGAGACCATATCTACTACTTTTTATTCCTGTGGGTTTGCCTTTTCTAAGCACTTCTTATAAATGGAATCATACAATATGTGACTTTGTGACTGGCTTCTTTCACTTCACATCATGTTTTCAAGGTTCATCCACATTATAATGTGTACCACAACTTCATTAATTTTTATTGAAATAATATTATGTTGTGAATATACCATTTTTTGTTTATTCATTCATCCATTGATGGACATTTGAGCTCTTCCCAGTTGGCTATTTTGAATAGTACTGCTCGCCATGTTTAGGTACAAATTTTTTCGTGAACATAATTTTCATTTTTCTTCGGAATACACCTAGGTATGAGTGTTAGTTACTTTTCTCATTGCTGAAACAAAATACCTGGTACCCAAAGTTAAGAGAGGAAATGTTTGTTTTGCTCACAGTCTGTAGAGGTTTCAGTCCATAATTGGCTGGCTCCCAGGCAGGGTGGCATCACAGAGAACAGTTCGTGGCAGACAGAAGACAGCAAAAGCAACAAGGAGGAGAAACAAGACTCTTTCTGTCCCCTATACTGTATGCAGGCTACCCATTCTAGGCCGGGTGTAGCACTCACACCCTTAATCCTAGTGAGAACCACGCCAAGCCAATCAGTGGGCTGATTTACTTGTCACACATCCTTCATCCCAGCATCACACACTGTAGATTCAGCCGCCTCTGAAAAAGCTCTGTGGTCACATGCAGCTTTAAGGGGACACTTAGACACAAACCATAGCAGCATGGAATTGCTAAATTATGAGATAGCTGTGTATTTAATGTTTTGGGAAACTGCCAAACTGTTTTCCACGGCAGCCACACTATTTTGCATTTGAGGAGGACTCAGTTTTCTCCACATCCTCAGTACTTGTTAATCCATCATTTTGATTTTAACCATGCTAGTGGGTGTGAAGTTATATGCCATAGTGTTTTGATTTGCATTTCCCTAATGATTAATAATGTCTAACGTCTTCATGTGCTTATTGACCTATTTGTAATCTTCTTTGCAGTAATGTCTGTTTGTATCTTTTGCCCACTTTGAACCTCTCCTGGTCCTTGAGGGCTGTTTGTGCAGTGTGGCACCCACCACCATCAATTCAGCTACGCCTTCTGGCCCAGCCCTTTCCCAGGATGTTGATGCCACCCTTTGCTTCCTCTGTCAGATCCTGGACTCGGAGCTCTTTGAGCTGATGCATCAGAATGGGGACTACACCCACTTCTACTTCTGCTACCGCTGGTTCCTGCTGGACTTCAAGCGAGGTGCAGTCTGCAAGCTGGGGCTTTGTCCCCAGATTCTTTGTGGTAGAATCTCAGGAGGGGAGACAGGGTAGAGAGGAGGCTGAGTGGGCGCTGAGCAAAGGCAGCAAATTCTGACCGTTGGTGCGCCTGCCTTGTCTTAGAGTGGTACGGTGTGGAGGGGTTGTTAAGATCCCCTTCTTCGCCATCTGTGCTGGCATAGGCTTAAATCTCAGCACTGTGGAGACTGAGGCGGGAGGATCCAGAGTTTGAGGCCAGCTTGTGCTATACAGTTCATGGCTACCTGGACAGAAGGAGACCCTGCCTCAAAAAAAATTTTTTAATTAAAATTCAATAAAGATCCTTTCTTTATAGATGAGAAAAGTAAGACTGAGACAAATCCAGTTCAGAACTAGGAACAATGGAGTGAGGATCAGAGCTCACCTCTGTGTACTCCAAAGCCAGGCTCCCTTCCATTCTGTTAGGCTGCTTAGCAAAGACCACCAGGAAGTCTAAAGCCCATGGAGTTGGAGTTGCTCACATGTTCTTCACATGACCGAGGAGTAATGTCACCTCTGAGTACATTGCTATGGTGCGGACTTGGAGCGATGCTAACGGTCACGATAACTTACATGTACAGAGAGTTTATTAAGTGCTGTGCACTGTGCTGAGCCACTTACATGCATTATGTCTGGTACTTTACTGCCACCAGTGTCGGCCTGTACATAGATTAGGAAGAGTCTCCTGGAGAAGTAGTGAGCCCGTGGCCCCCAGCTAGCTAGTGACAAAGCCAAGTAAGCCAGGTTATTGGACATGGGAAGCCCCAGTCTGTCCACCGCCCTCCTCTGTCTCTTTACTGGACTCAGAGGCAGCAGCCAGCTCTACCTGTGGGTGGGTGGGCAGACACTTCACCCGGTGCCAGTATAGATGGAGGAACTAGTCCAGGTCCAGGGCAGGGGCAGATCCATGTCACTGATACATGCACATGTCCATTCTACCCCTCACAGTGTGACAGAGCTGGTGGAAGGAACTTAGAAACCACCTGGTTTACATAGCCCATTCTATAGATGGGGAGATGGAGGGCTTTGAGAGCCAAGTTACAGTGTATGGGTCTCCTGCCTCCTGGCCTCATTCTGTCTACTGCACTAGGGCACAGACACTAAGTCTTGCTGGCCTGGGATTTTCCCTAAGGGAAGAGGGTGACACCATGTACTTGTATGTTGGTGTCTTGCTAGAACTCGTCTATGATGATGTCTTCTCCGTCTGGGAGACCATCTGGGCGGCCAAACATGTGTCCTCCGCCCACTACGTGCTGTTCATCGCTCTGGCGCTGGTGGAAGTCTACCGCGACATCATTCTGGAGAACAATATGGACTTCACTGACATCATCAAATTCTTCAATGGTACCTGAGGTCTCATGCGGGTGGGGCCGGGGGGCACTGAGATGTGCTGAGATGGGTGCACAGAAGAGGCAGAGGGGCCTTCTGCCCTGCAGCTATTTCCGAAAGGATAAGTTGATGTCCTATAATAGTGAGGAGGTGTTTTTCTCAGGGATTTAGCAGGGGGAGAATGAGTGTTGAAATTCAGCTCAAAGCTGAAAGCTGGCTGACAAGTGCCCAGCTGTGCCCACGGGCTAGGTGCTTATCCCCGCTGTGAGCATCCCCGTCCTCATCTGAAGTGGGGGAGCGGCATCTGCTCCAGATGCTTGAGGTGCCAGGGAAAAGTGGGCATCAAGAGACAGAGTCCAAGAGGCATGGAAAAGGCCCAGCCATTGAAATCAGACAGATGGGGGATCAGATCACAGTTTTCTGTCAGTTGGGTGCTCTGTGACCTTGTCCAAGTGATTTCATGTCTGTGGGTCCCAGATACTTGAGAGGTACAAAGATGCAAACACCCCCTCTCTTGCAAGGAAGTTCACAAGATTAAAAGACATGGCATGGATAAGTCTCATCACCTGGTACCTGGCCCATAGGATGGGCCCAGTAAATGAACCCTATTGCTACAATTGTCAGTATTTAAAAATAAAGAACCAGAGGCTCTAGAAATACCAAAAAGAGAAAAAGGGCAGCTGTGACCTCACCTTTGGAACTTTGAGTTTTATTTATGTATACTTTTTATTTGGGAATAATTTTTATTTTATTCATCTACCAAAATTTTGGTTTTAGAATTTTTTTTGATTTACAAAAAAATCACAAAAAATAGCTCCAGAGAGTTCATGATACCCTTTGCCCAGTTTAAATTACTGTTAGCATTTTACATGATCCTAGCCCATCTGTCAAAACTAAGAAATTAACATTAGTGTGTTCTATTTACTAAATTATAGACTATTTGGATTTCACCTGGCTTGTCACAAATTTGGTCTGCTCAAAATCTGCTCCAGGAACCAGATAAAAAAAAAACAGCAATGCATTTAATGAGCTCATTTTTTAAAAATACAGCCAGTGGGTGCTTGCCTATACTCCCAGCTGCTTGGGAGTCTGAGGGAGGATTGCAAGTTTGAGGCCAGCCTAAGCAATTTAGCAAGCCCCTGTCTCAAAATTAAAAAGGCTGGTGGTGTAGCATGTAGCTCAGTGATAGAATGCTCCTGAGTTCAGTCCCCAGTACTGGAAAAAGAATCCATCCAGTCCTTTCCACAGTCACACATATTTTTATGTTTTTACCATCACAGAATCCAATCATATATTTTTTCCACTTAATATTTAAAAAATCATGTATGTAATCACTTTTTAAGACAGCAGGCTATGTCAGGTGTGGTGGTGCATGCCTGGAATCCCAGCATTTAGGAGGCAGAGGCCGGAGAATCACTGCAAGTTCGAGGGCAGCATCAGCTACATAGTGAGTGCAAAGTCAGCCTGAACTGCATACTAAGACTCTGTCTCAAAAAAAAAGAAAGACTGCAGTCTATATCTCAAGTGACTGTTCTATAAATTATTGAATCGTCCCTTATCATTGAGCCTCTAGTTGAAATCCCCCAAATAATTCAAATCTTAGTGTAGAGGTTCTCTATCCTTTTCAGTTCAGAGCACCCATGGCATCTCTGTAAAATTTTCACAGTATCCTAGGCCCAAAGTTCCATTTAATAAGTAGGTGGGTCCAAACCACTTAGTAGGTTTTTATGTCCTAACAACTTAATAGCTTTTTGAAAACAAGATACACATAAATTGAAAAAAAAAAAAAAAAAAAAGCCAGGTGTGGTGGTGCAGGCCTGTAATCCCAGCACTCTGGGGGCTGAGGCAGAAGGATCACAAGTTCAATTCTAGCCTAAGCAATTTAGTGAGGTGCTGTCCCAAAATTTAAAAACAAATAAAAGGTCTGGGTATGTAGCTCAGTGTGGAGGCCCATGATTAAATCACCTGTGCTACCAAGAAAATGTTGGGTTTTTCAATTTTTAGAAGTACAATGACTTCTTATGGAGTCTGTGCACTTGTTGGGTGGTACACAGCCTCTTCAGGCCTGTTGCATATATCCCCTTCATAGCCTCTGCCACCACGACCTGTGTGTGGTTCTTACTTTCTATCACAGCAACCACTGAAAGCCTACCTTGGCAGGTATACAAAACCATGAGTAGGAATGTAGTTCAAATTAGTTTATGTCATACTCAAAGGATGTAGGGTATCTCTCTTAGGATCCCTATTAGGATTCTCTCTGAATTCCTAAATATCCTGCAATGTCACAGTAAGTTCACTGTGAAAGCAGGGATGGGGAAGGGGGTTCCTTCATGCCTAAGTTGAGAACCATGATCTTAGTGCCTTTTTCCTTCATTAAATGGTTTATTTACAATAAATGTCTAAGTGTAAGAGTCAGAAATAGGGCACCTGTCTGTAATCTCAGCACTTTGAGTGGCTGAAGTGGGAAGATTGCAAGTTCAAGTCCAGCCAGGGCAATTTAGCAAGTTAAAACCATCTCAAAATTTAAAAATTTAGCCAGGTGTAGTGGCACATGCCTGTAATCCAAGCACTTAGGAGACTGAGGCAGGAGGGTCCCTGTGAGTTCGAGGCCAGCCTGGCCTACGTAGAGAGTTCAGAACCAGCCTGAACTATATATAGCGAGACCCTGTCTCCCCCACAAAAAAATTTTTTTAATTGCAAAAGGACTTGGGATATAGCTCTGTGTGAGAACCCTGTGTTCAGTCGCCAGTGCTGCAAAAATAAATAAATGGGTGGATGTCTGAGTTTAGGGTTACTCTATTGTACATAGAGGTTTGAAAATGAAACTGTTTCGTCTGGCTCTTGATAAAATTATATTTGCTTTTCTCTCTTTCCTTCCCCTGGTCTACAGCCATACCACCCTGAATCTTATCCTTCCCCTGAATCCACCTGATCTTATCCTTCCCCTTTCCTCTCTTTCTTGCTTCCTTTGGTCACTTCCTTCATTTCCATAAAATCTTTAAGTATCTGCTGTGTGCCTGGCTTTGCTCTTCTAAAAGGTTCCCAGTCATTCTCATGGAAGAAGAGTGGAAAGGCCTGACCTTTATAAAGCACACACTGAACCAGCATTATCTTATTTGATCTCCGTTGTAACTTTGGGTTGTAGTTGCTGTTATGATACCCAGTTTTAGACAGGGAAACAGACCTGGAGGTTGAGACCTTCTCCCAGGCCTCTGCTTGCAGATCCAGTCTGAGGTAAGGATGTCCATAGGGAGACACAGATGGAACTCATGAGATTTACTCCATGTTCTTACAGAAATGGCTGAGCGGCACAACACAAAGCAAGTCCTGAAACTCGCCCGGGACTTGGTGTACAAGGTGCAGACGCTGATCGAGAACAAGTAAACATGCTGTGCCCTGACCACACCGCCAGCTGCTGTCCTCCTGCCCCAGTCCTTTGTGCCAGCCCAGCCCAGTGCGGGCCTGGCACCTGCCTATGAACGTGGACTTCTGTGTAGAGAGAAGGGACCCTGACCTTGGCCATTGGGCTGGTGGGGTTAAGGAGTGGACCCTCCAGTTCAGCCTTACGTTTTCTGTTTGACCAAAGATCGCCGAAGTCTGGAGTTCTCCCTCACAGACTGGAAGTGGTAGGTGGGTGGAGGAAGTGTCTTCCTTCCCACGCTCCTCCTCTTTCTTCTGGGCTTCATCTTTTCTGATGAGACCAGGGGAGGTCACTCTTGAGGAACGGGTGTCAGAGAAGTCTGTGGGACTCCCCTTGTCCCCTGCAGAAGGCCTCTGGGCAAGTTTTAGAATCTGCCTGCAAGCCTGGCTTTAAGCAGGTCTATTCCCCTTCAGCACTGCTGACATTTGAAGCCAGCGAGTGGTTTGTGGTGGGGATGGTCCTGCGCACTGGGGGATGGTAAGCAGCTTCCCTGGCTTCTACCCACCAGATGCTGGTAGAACCTCCCCTTCCCTCCCTCAGGTTGTGACAACCTGGGATGTCTCCAGACAATGCAAGCCCACCTCTCGCCTCTGTCCTGCAGCCTCCCCAGTTTAGAAAATGCACACAGATTCCTTCATACATCTGTGCTGGACCCCAGGATCCCAGTGGCTATATTTGCTCATTTTTCCTCCTTTGACGCCAGGAAATACTTTTTTCTTCTTTTCAAGAAAAGCACCTTCTTGCTTTTAAAGTGGAACCTAGGAGATGTCTGTACGTATAAGATAGTCTAAGACACTTCATGGTCCTGCCGACCAGTGAGGCTGGGCCTCACTCTGAGGGAGGACCTCACTTCCTGACCACATAACAGCAGGCTCCAGGGTCTGGGGAGTTACATGTTTGTGGCTGCCCCTGGGCTTTTCTGTAAGCACCCTTGCTCACTCAGGACAAAGGAGAAAGAACTAGGCGGGGTCCACCAGGTAGTGTCGGCAGATGTTTTCCCTGGGAAACATCCGCTGCTCTGAGGCTGCTGCCATAGCTGGGTCTAGGAATTGTCCCCTTCATACCAGGGGCTACCAGTCCCCAGACAGACCTGAGTGAGCTAGTACACGCCCCCCTGGCCCACCAGGGAGCCGCCTGACCAGCTCCTGCTCAGAGAATGTCTGAGTGGGAGGCCAGCAGGAGGCAGGGAAGAAGCTCAGGTGGTCAGAGCATGGCCGCTGTGATTTGGAGAGGAAGCAGACGGGGAAAGCAGGTTGAAGCATTGGCAGAGGGCATCTTTCCGTCCTGGACTGGGCAGAAGCCCCACCCTGCCAGCTGCTCCTCCCACTGCCTCTGAACCCCAGCCTTGGCCCAAAGGGACAGAAAGGACTGCAAGACCTCTGTGGCCCTTGTTCCCCAGGAGAGCTCCAAGGGAGACTTGAAGCTGTGCAAGTCCTTGTGGGCAGGAAGGGAAGGGGACAGCTTCTGCTGCCACTAGAATCTCACCCCTGCCCCTGACCCCTACAACTTCCCAAGACAGGAGAAAGACCCGTCAGATAAGCCTTTATTCGCCACTCAGCTGTGGACTACAGAGGATGTTATTTTAGCACGACCAGGGCTCAGGCCCCCTGATTCTTATTTATTTTTGTAACAGACCAGTCTCAGAGTATAGCACAAGATCTCCTCTCTGCCTTCCTGTGTGCTGTTGAAAGTGTGTGTGGTTGTGGTTTGCAGTGAAGCGTATTTATTCCGTGTACTGTGCTTATGCAGACCTCTGTCCATTGTGTATGTCCTTGTGTCTTGGAATTGAGTGTGTGGGAGTCATTCTGTCTGTGGAGTGCCCTCTTTTTTCAGTGTTGTGAATGCTTGCTGAAGAATTGTGTCTATATAGAGAAAATAATATATGAGCAGAGAAAAATGAATCTGCCTTTTTATTTGAAAGAAAAATGTTTGCTTCTAAAGACTTGTGCCTTCCAACCGCTGCCCCATACCATACCCAAGTGGGGTCAGGATCTTATGATAGCTGTCTGACTTCTCCAGAGAAGTCAAGGTCAAGGCAGATGAGTCACTCCTCCTTGCATAAGGTAGCTGTTAGCACCAGCATTGCTGTGTAACAAACCACTCTCACTGTGGTTTAAAGTAGACATTCATTTCACGTATGATTCTGTGTCAAGAATCTGTACTGTCACTGGGAGGTTCTTTTGGCCTTGGCCAGTATTCTTCAGGATTCTGTGCTCCCCGACAGCCTGAGAGGCAATTCTCTGGTGTTTGGCTGGCTGTCGCCTAGGACACTGGGGAAAAATGGGTCAAGTATATCTTATCCTGCAGCAGGCTGGCTCAGGATTGTCTGCAGGGCCAAGATGGTGGATTCCAGGAGAGCAAGCAGAGGTGTGCAGCACTTCTGGAGACCATGTCTGCCACATTCTGTTAGTCGATGTCAAATTCAAAGGTGGAGAAATAAGACTCCAGTTCCTGATAGGAGGCTTTGAAAAGTGGCATTGAAAAGGAGCAGGGAGGCTGGGTATGGTGGTGCACACGTGTAATCCCAGGCTGAGGCAGGAGGATTGCTGAAAGTCTGAGGCCAGCCAGGAGGCAGGGACATACAGTCAGCCCTCCAGGGGCTCCACATCAGCAGATTCACCCAACCTCAGATACAGAATAAGTGGAAGAAAATTGCACCTGTACTGAACATGTGCAGCCTTTTTTTCCTTGTCATTGCCTAAAGAACACAGTGTGGCAGCTATTCTGATAGCACTTACATTGTATTAGGGATGATAAATATCTAGAAATTGGGCATGGTGATGCACACCTGTAATCCCAGCACTCTGGAGGCTGAGGCAGGAGGATTGCTGCAAGTTCGAGGCCAGCCTGGGCTATATAGTGAGTTCAAAGCTGAACTGCATAGGGAAACCCTGGCTTTTAAAAAAAAGTCACCTAGAGATGATTTGAAGTATAGGGGAGGATGCCCATAGGTTCTATGCAAATACTAGGCCATTTTATATATGAGATTTAAACATCCTCAGATTTTGGCATTCACAGGAGTCCTGGTGCCAATCTCCCATGGATACTGAGACCCTGTATTACATGAGATTATTTTTGCAGTCTGTATTACATTCTCCCAGTGCACAGCAAGGCTTCCCGGTTGGTCAGGCGTTTGACATTGATGGTTCCTCCCTCACCCACATTGTTTCCATAGGCCATTAGGTTATCTTCCCCGTGTGTGTCAAGTTCATTCTGTGCCCATTAATCTTTGTTTTTTGGTTTTTTCCTTTAGTACTGAGAATTGAACTCAGGGACCTTCACACTGAGCTATATCCTCAGCCCTTTTTATTTTTTATGTTGAGACAAAATCTCATTAAGTCACTAAGTTGCCCAGGCTGGGCTTGAACTTGGCATCCTCTGGCCTCAGCCGCTCGAAATGCTGGGTTTATAGGCGTGTGCCACCACCGCACCCAGCAGCTTGCGTGGATTAAAGACTCCTAGAGAGACGCTTGGATTGTGAGGGCACTAACCTAATAGGCTAACCCATTGATGAGATCATAGCTGAATGGGGTATTGGGGTCTGGTTGGAGGAAGTAGGTCATGAGGTGTGACCTCAGTGACCTTGTCCCCTGGCCCCTTTCCCCTGTATGGTCTTCTTTGTGCTCTCTGCAGCTAGCTACCATGAGGTGAGCCGCTTTGCCCTGCCACTCCCTTCTGCCCTGATTGTCTGCTGTGGAGCCAGTTGACCATGGACTGAAACTGAGAGTCCAGTAAACCTCTGCTCCTTTAAGTTGTGCATGTCAGGTACTTTGTCTTAGTAATGGAAAGCTGCATGATACAGTGGCTTGCCTTCAGGACCATGGTCATCAGGCAGTGAGGACCCCGAGGTTTTCCACCTCCTGGCAACCTCAAAGGTGGGCTGAATGAAACATGTGGTCCACCACTGCAGAAGCAAAGCTGGATTCATTCTAACACTCCAGCAAGCAACCATCAGAACTTCCGGTCTCTCTAGAAAAAGACCTCCTCCAGGTAAGACAGCAACACAGAGGAAGAGTTTGCAAGTGGCCTTGGGGAAGTTCTCAGCAGAGGGAAGCAGGAAGCCCCACAGCTGTGAGCAGGCAGGCCTTTGTACTTTTGCCAGCTCAGTCGGGGGTCTCTAGTTGTTCTGAGCTTCAAAGCATAAAGTCTGTTTCTGTTCTGACTGTCCTTTGGGTCACCAGTCTCGTTTCTGTGACTTCAGCCTCAGCTCTGTGCAAGAGGCTTTACCCCGGGAGGGCCACACTTGTCTGTGGCTGCCTAGCACTGCCAGCCCTGTGGCAGTTCATGCACAAATTCCTGGTTATTTGTGCTATTGCGGAGCATAACACTAATTTTGTTATAAAGGTGCAGAAAGGTGGGTCTGTGAGACCCATGTTTATTCTTTAGAATATTTCTATTGATGAATTAATTTCATGAGTTTTATTACAGTAAACAATGAGTACTTAGTAGAAAAAAAGTTGCAAAAATAAAGTAATAGGTTTTTAATATTTAGTGTTTATAAAAGAGCATCAAAATTTTCAACATCGACTTTTTTTTAGACAAAGACTAAAGAAAACACCACAAATAAATTCTTACATGAACTAAAATGAAACTACCAATAGCACTTTTAAGAAAAATTAATAAAAAATCCTTACTAAGTTGCCACATTTACAGCAGTCTGCACACATGACAACAGCATGTTCCATACATGCATATATCATTTAATACTGACAGCACATGTGTTTCACTTTCCTGGCCTTCCTGTAGGGGGAATCTGTGATGGAGTAAGGTGCTCGTCTCAGGGCTGGGAAGTGAAAGAGAAGAGGAAGGGACTGGGGTCCCACTTCTCCTTCCACTAAGCCCCACCTCCTCGACACAACAGCTGGGCGTGATAGTGCTCACCTGTAATCCCAGCACCCCCGGTAGGCTGAGGCAGGAGGATTACAAGTTCAAATCCAGCCTGAGCAATTTAGTAAATTAGCAAGAACCTGTCTCAAAATTTAAAAAAAATAACAGGAAGGGGTGTAACTCAGCGCCAAGGCCCTATGCTCACTCTCTGATACAAAGAAAAAAAAAAAAAAAAAAAAGTTTCCACCACTTCCCTGTAGTGCCATGCTGGAGACCAAGGCCTTAATATAGGCCTTTTAGAGACATTTTAGCTTCAAACTGTGTCACTGAAGAAGAAATACAGTAAGGACATAAGAGGGTTAAAGTCGCTGGCACTAAATGAGCCTTCTTCAGGATCTTAAAGGAGAATTGAAACACGAAGGATTTTCTCACTTATCCATCTCTGTCCACATGTTGGAGATCAGTGATTTAGGATCCCACATCTGCTCCTTGTGGTCATGTGGCCTTGGACAGGTGACTTTACCTGTGTCAGCCTTAGTGTTCTCTGTGAAATGGGATAATATAGCTTCCCAGGCCTCCCTCTTTTCTGGGAACCCTTTGCCTCAAGCATCACTGGAGGTGATTTCCTGGCTGGGAGCCCATTTTCTTTTGTTCCCACATCAACCTTCCTCAGGTGAGCCTTTGCAGGGCAGGATGACATGGCTGCAGAAGGGCAGCTCCAAGCCCCTGGGCCCTGTGATGGAGACACTGAGTCTGCCCCATGGACGGTCTTGGCAGCAGCAATATCCACCCTGACTGTGCAGTTTACATCAGACTCTGCTGAGTCAGAAGAGGGTAGCAGGTCTCTTCCTTTCTGCTTTAAAACCACTGAGCACACTCAGGACCAGTAGAGACTACAGGAGCATGGGTTGACCACTGTGGAAGAGCCTACTTGCTGCCCCCCTCACCACTAAGCCACTGTGGGCAGAGTGCAAATGACTGGGGTGGCCACCAGCTCCTGGGATTTTCCATCTCATCAGGGTGAGGCCTAGGATGACTTTGCTTTTTCCAGGTCTGTGAGAACAAGGATTTCCAGACTCTCTAGGTCCAAATCTCCTTGCAAATAATGAGCATCTCTTGCTTTGATGGGGAGAAAACAGTTGAGAAATATCCCTCAGTCTACTGCCAAATTAAGTCGAGTCTCTGCAAATGGATCTGCTTTATGGGCCAGAGAATCACTCCCTCTGATGTTACTGAATCAATTCAGAGGGAAAATTAAGGCCTGTGGGAGCATTGTAAGGTTATTAACAGAGAAGGCACATCTCAAGTGTGAGTGAGTGAGCTGTGGACTGGGTTTGGGCTCCTCATTGGTGGTACTTGTTTGCTGCTCTTTATACCTGACATTCAAAGGTCTTCCCATGAGAGGTTGATTTGCACTAAAGAGCTTCTTGTGCCACTGGGAATGTACCACAGGTCTCCAGGCCATTGGAATATGTGGCAGTGGCCCAGATTTTGTCTTACTTTATTCAAAAGCCAAGCATCATGGCACACACCTGTAATTCATATACTCTGGGAGGCTGAGGCAGGAGGAGTACAAGTTTGAGCCCAGTCTGGGAAACTTAGTTAAAAAAAAAAAAATTTAAAAGCACAGAATGAAGGCTGTGTATTCAATCCCCAGTAGAGCAAAGGCAGATAGCAACAGACACATATGTGTATCCATGTGTGGTACTTTCTCTGTGATCTATGTTTTATAATAGAATTGGTCCTGGGAGCTATGTACAGATGTTTTGGGGTGAATGAGGCCAGAAGAGTTTTATCAATGTAAGCTGGGAGGGTGGGGGCAGAGGGAGCAAATCCCAGCATTGCCTCCATCTGACAGATACGGGTCCAGCCAAAGCTCTGCTAGACAAGAATAAACAAATTTTTCCAAGAAAGTGAAGCACATATGACGAAAACATGAGCAAATAGAATGGAAAGGCAGATTGGGGAAGGAGCCACCTTAGATACTGTTTTTAAGGGGTTGGAATAGCAACTGTAACTGGTTGGCCCTTACAACTGTCAGTAGGGGTCAGTGTTTGGACCCTCTATTTATATCTAACTTTTATTACTGTGGTATTGTTTTTATACATTTTTTGATTATATTTTTCTGTTTAAGACCAAGTTAAAGCAAGACCTGTGTTAGTCAAAATTAACCTTTTGCTGTCTATCATGGTCAATTACTTTTGGAACCAGGTACAATGCCTCTCAGCTCCTCTCTTACTGTGAGCTGCCAGGATGGGTCACAGTATTGCTTGACTATGTTGGTTTCTGGGAAAGAGACTTCCCTCTTTGGTGACCCTCTTTTGGCACACTGTACATTTGTTTATTTCTGCCTCTGGGGTCCAGCAATATCCCTGCTCAGGAGGTTGGATGTCTCACCAAAGTTGTATGACCCTATAGAAAAGGTTCCCACATGTCCTGGGCCCTCATTGACCTTTGAGAGCCTGGGCCAAAATATTGACTATCCTCTTAGTCCAGGTACCTTTCTAGTTCTGGCCACTAAACTTCAGTTGTTGAACACCCAGGAGAAAAGATCAGTTACATCAGTATTGCAGTGGGAGCAGTAAGCTTAACTATTACAATCTCATCTGGATATCAAGCACTTTGAAATATAAAGTATGTCAGAAGACTTATTTCTTACCAATCACGGTGGTTTGAGAAGTTGAATCTCAGCAGAATTTTTTTGTTTTTGTTCTTCGATTTTTTGAGACAAGTTCTCTGTATGTAGTTCAGGCTGGCCTTGAACTCACTGTGTAACCCAGGCTGGCCCCAAATTCACAGTGATCCTCTGCCTCAGCCTCGAGTGCTGGGATTACAGGCATGGACCACCATGCCCCAGTCTTGCAGAATTTTAACAGACAACAATTATAGTTTTACACAGACAGTTTGAGATCCAGAGCCACACATAGTATTTCAACATGACAATCATGATATTATCTTTGAAATGCATCTTAGTGTAGAATAGCCTTTTTAGTTAATCATCTCCATCTAGTGCACAAGTTCTCACCTAATTTGTTATCCTTTAATAGAATGTCATTGGGAAAGCATGTGATATTGTCTGGTCTACTCAGTGCCTGAGCATCTCTAAGTATAGTGACACATATATAACATACACATCACTAAGCTTTAAAAAAAAAACCTATCATTTGACTGGTGATCTCATGCTGGCTTGATATGTACCTCTTATCACAAGTAGCTGGAGCAGAAGACAAAGGCAGATACAAGTCTAAAAGAAAAGGTTATCACCATAAAAAATCCTAGTTCTAGAATTTAGAAGCCCTAGTTTTACATCTTAGAAGTCATGAATACATTTAGTACACCATGAAATTATCAATAATGAGTGTCACAGCTACTATACAGAAACCTTTGTCTCAATTTAGTTTTGTACCAAGAACATTTTTTAATAAGCCTCATTTTACCCACAGAAAACTTAACCTTTTGATGATAACCAATGTAAACATGTTACAATAATATGTTTAGCAATGTTTATTGAGATGTGTCTGTCATAAACCTATGGAAATTATTGAGGTCCCATTAGTGCATAAAGACTGGAATAAATATTTTCAGGCAGCTACTTCTTTATTCATCAAGACGAGTCTTGTCCAGCAGTTTCCCCAAGTATAGGAGGCCCCCATTTAGTTAGCTTAACAAATTTTTTCAGATGACCTATGAGAACCAGATCATAACAATTAACACATTATTCTTGACTGATGAAAGACTTCCAAGTTATTGTACACAGACAACAATATGCATTTTATTTGTAAAACCAGCCTTTTCTTTCTTTCTTTCTTTCTTTTTTTTTTTTTTTGAGAAAGGGTCTTGCTATGTAGTCCAGGTGGTCTTGAACTGTCTTGAACTCATTATGTAGCCCAAGCTAGCCTCAAACTCATGGTGATCCTCCTGCCTCAGTCTCCCAAATGCTGAGATTAAAGGCATGCACCATCACACCCAGCTATAAAACCACTCTTGACATCATTTTGATTAGCTTGGGTAGAAGCATGCCCTTAACTCTAATGACACTTATCTATAAGCCAATTTAAATTGTAGACATAAATTTTTAAAAATCCAAAAGATAAGAAAATATGAAAATAGTTAAGCTCAAACAAAATAGCTGTAGATTTTGCAATCAGTCACAAAGTGAACAGAGAGATAGACAGGCACACATAAGATAATTTGTCAATGGACCAGAGTACACTCAGATGTATTTGGCCAAGTTGAATTAAAATAACCTTTTTGTAGTTCTTTGGGTGTGTAACTATAGACTAGTCAGAACTTTTTATAGCTCAATTAGCAGAGATGTAATAATAATCAGAAGGAATAAAACCTTTTACCTGTTTTTAAAACCGGCTCTAGGCTGATGGTTTATCTGATTGGAATATCCAGCTACACAGGCTTCTCACTGTTACTTTGATGGCCACAGTTGTTTGATAGCCACAGCAGGTAGCTAAAACTACTGTTTTGATAGCCACATGCAACTGTTCCCTCTAAAGGGACAAACTGTTAAAGATAATTTTAACTATTTCCAAGGGAGGTGTGCTCAGGCTGGGTTTGGGTGTAGGAAGAGACTAGGTGGCACTTTTTGGCACTAAGTATGTATTCCAAGAAGTAGGGGAAGAAGGCCTGTCAATGCTTTAATCTTCCCTGCTGCATCTACCTATGACAGTTTTTTCAGAATGGGCTTCTTTAGTTCTTTCTTCCTGGGAGGATTTTATTTGATGGTTTCTGGCATAAAGATGATTCTCTCGGTGTCACTGTAGAAGAATATGGCTCTTCTCTGGACCTTGGTCATGCAAGGCCACCCAATGATGGACAGGAGGCCAGCCAGGATGGCATTGAGGATGGCAGTCACATAGCCCCAGCCAAGCTGGCACTTCCCTCCATGGTACACAGAGGAGCTCTTGCAGACTTCTTTGGTAAAGGGGGAGGCCAGGCTGACTGGGAAAACCAAAAGGCCCACAGTGGTGATGATGGCTGGAGACAAAGAGAGAAAAGTCAGTGTGTAGTCAGAGGCACTGGGCTAATCTCATCACAGGACTCATCCACCCTGCGGTCCACCCTTCCACACATTCATCCATCCATCAACCATATCCCAATCAGGTCATTATTTTCATTGCTCTACCCACCTATCCATTTATCAGGTTAAAGACCCTTAGTTATTGCGGGTTGATCAGGCCTACAATCTTCCAAATGAGTAGACAGTGAAGGCTTAAATAAATGAGACTATTGAAATGATTTTAGGGCTCCAGGAGGATCCAGTTCTCTTACAAAATTTAAGATTGTCTGGGTTAAGACCCAGACTTCCCTGGGCAGGCTGTATTTATTAGGTTTTTAAGCAAAGGAGGAGGATACTGAAGAAAATGCAGGAATCTGGGCAGGATTTGGGAATCCCTTTAAGAACTTTTCCAAGTAATACTTTATGTTAATTTAGGAGAATTATGTTATCTCTAGGAAGGCCTTCACTGCAGGAGTGAGATGCCTGCAGCTATGGTTTCCTTTTAGTTAATTGGGGTTGGAACCAGAAGTCCTCAACTGTGTCCTTATCTTATCTTTTGAGGCCTCCTGGCTTCACCCACTATTACAGGCCTCAGTAGGAACCAATGACTCACAAGTAAACATGGAAAGCCAACTGGTTAATATAAGTCCTGTTCAGAGCTGCTTCATAGTGGTCTCCATCATCCATTCACCCATCCATCCATTTATCCATCTGCACACTTAAGCCATCTGCTCCTACCCACCCATCATCCCTGTCCTCCATCAACCATATTGCAGTCTATCCATTTTCTCCATCCATGCACCCAGCCATCTGTCCTTGCAGTATTATAGCCATCATTCCATCAATTTATCCACCCACACATTCATACACTCATCAACCCACCTATCCATCCATGCATTCATTCATCAAAACTGTTAGAGAGCCAGGCCTGGTGGCGCAGGCCTGTAATCCCAGCACTTGAGAGACTAAGGCAAGAGGATCACTGTGAGTTTGAGGCCAGCCTGGGTGCCACAGGGAGTTAAAAAAAAAAAAAACAAAAACATACTGAGTTCAAGGCCAGCCTAAACTACATAGTGAGACCCTGTCTCAAAAAAACATAAAAAAACTGTTAGAGGCAGCCAGGTATGGTGGCACACACCTGTAATCCCAGGACCCTGGGAGGCTGAACCAGGAAGATTTCAAGTTTAAGCCCAGCCCGAGCAATTTAGTAACTTAGAGTGGCCCTATCTCAATACAAAACATTTTGGAAAGGCTTGTAGATGTAGCTCAGTGGGTGCAAAGGCCTTGGGTTCAATCTCTAGTACTAAGAAAATAAACAAACTGTTAAGAGTTACATGCCTAGTTACTAGAGAAATGAAAATCAAATCTATTATGCTATACCATCCACACCTATTAGGATGGGTGGAAGAGATCGGAACTCTGGTGCACAGTTGGTAGTTATAGAAAATGGTGCAGCTGCTGTAGAAAAGTATGGTAGTTTCTCAAAACAGAAACCATTGCTGGGTGACATAGCCATTCCCCTTCTGGGTACATACCGAAAAGAATTAAAACCAGGCTCATCCACAAACAACCAGCATTCTTTACAGTAGCTAAAATATGGAAGCAACTGAGACATCTATCAACAGATAAGGAAAATATGATGTGGGGCTGGGCTGGGGATATAGCCAGTGGCATAAGCGCTTGCCTGGCAAGCACAAGGTCCTGAGTTTGATTCTTGGTACCAAAAAAAAAAAAAAAAAAAAAAAAAAAGATACAGACATTCAATGGGATAGTTTTAGTTTTCCAAACTGACTAAGGTATATATTTGTCATATGTAGCCTGTTGTTTTGACATCTGTATACAGCTTTGGGAAAATAAGGAAATGCTGACACATGTCATAACCTGGATGAACCTTGAGGACATTATGCTCACTGAAATATGCTGGTTGCAAGAGCACACAAATATATGATTCCACTCATCTGAAGTAAGTTGTCAAATCCACAGTGACAAGAGGAACGGTGGTTGCCAGGGGCAAAGGGGAGAGAAGGATGGCGAGTTACTGTTTCCGGGGTACAGAGGTTCAAGCTTACAAGTGAAAAGAGTTCTGTAGGTGGTGATGATTACATAACATTATGAATGTATTGAATACCACTGAATTATACCCTTAACATTGTTAAAACATCCAGGTGTGGTGGCACATGCCTGTAATCCCAGCACTCGGGAGGGAGGCTGAGGCAGGAGGATCATTGGGAGTTCAAGACCAGTCTAGGCTACAAAGTGAGCTCAAGGCCAGCCTGAACTGCACAGTGAGACCCTGTCTCAAAAAGACCAAAAAAAAAAAAATTGTTAAGACAAATTTATTTGTAATTTACCATGTTAAAAATTTGTTAAAGTATTCCCATGTTGCAGTTCACTGACACTTTGTGTGTATGTTTGCGTGTGTGTGAATGGGGACTGAACCCAGGGTCTTCACACTAAGCCACATCCCAGTCCTTACTTATTTTTTACTTTGAGGCAGGGTTTCAATTAAGTCACTAAGTTGCCCACCCTGGGCTCAAACTTTCAATCCTCCTGTCTCAGCTTCCCAGAGAGTTGAGACTACAGGCATGTGCCACTATGTCAGGGGAAAAAAAGTACAAGTATGGAAGATATATGAAAAATGATAAACCAAAAGCAAAAGAAGGGCTGGGAGTGTATCTCAATGGTAGAGCATTCCCTGGTTCAATCCTCAGCATCGAAAAATAAAAACCAGTTGGGGGCTCTGCGCTGGGCACTAGTGATACTAAAGAAATGAGCCCCCACCCCTGCCTCTGAGGCGCCCCCACTGCAGAGCCCAGCCACATGGGCCGCCCACAGCCACCTGAGTACCAGGCCCTCCGTCCTCCACCTCTGCCCCTGAAGGTCCCAGTGCCGCAGTCCGCTCTTGACTGACTCTTCCTGCCCTCCACAGCCACCTTGAGTGGTGCCCCCTCCAGGAAGCCCAGGGAGCCGCAGAGTCCCCTGCCGTCCTGTACTCACTCACCCCTGTAAGCTCAAACACCGGGTGAGTTGTGCTGTGGCTGAGTGTGGCCCCCGGGGCCCGTGCACTGACACCGGAGCCCCAGAGTGAGGTACTGAGAGGGCTAGAGCTCTGACTCTGGTGCTCAGAGGTGGGGCCTCTGGAGGTGATGAGGGTGGATGAGGTCCTCAGGCCGCGGCCCCATGAGTGAACCCTGGCGGCTTTGTAAGGAGAGCGAGAACTCAGAAGATGCTTGTCTCTCGCCATGTGATGCCCCGGGCTTGGGACTCTGCCTGCCCAAAGGCCGTCACCAGTCTGGCTTGGGGGCGTGTGTTTATAATCCCAGCACTCTTTGGAGGCTGAGGCAGGAGGCTCGCAAGTTCAAGCCCATTGAACCCAGCAATTGGTGAGTAATTTAGCAATTTAGCAAGACCCCATCTCCAAATTAAAAAGAAAAAATTATATATATGAGCTGTCCGGGGATATAGCTCAGCATGAAGGCCCTGGGTTTAATCGCCAGCACCACAAAACAAAACAAAACAACACCAGATGCAGCCCTTTTACCTGGATGTCCAGAGCTATGAACTAAATGGACCTCTTTCCTTTCTACGGAGCCTCAGCTGTTTCATTATAGTAATGCAAAACAGACCAAGATACATTGTCACAAAGCAATACCCCACAGGAACCTGCCGGAAATGCTGTGAGCCAGCCCAGGACAAGGGCTGGTACTTCATCCAGTGACTGAAAAATATCTGGGGGCATCTGTGTAGCAATAAGCTGGGTGCTACTCCTATGGCGCAGATGGCCGTGTTCCTGCCCCCACCCCACCCTACCCCCGCTGGCCTGGCGATGAGGAAAGGCGAGGCCACCGAGGTGCAGAAGAAGCGCTGTTTCAGGGGAATGAGTAGGTGCCGTGAGGCGGGAGGGCAGGTGAGGGAGGGAAGCTGGGGAGAGACAACCCCCTTGGCCAGAGGTGGGGCAGCCCTCACTGAGGCAGCCACGCCTGCGCAGAGACTTTCAGTAGCAGGGACTAGGCGCGGGACTCTGCGGGAGGGAACTGCCGGCTGAGGGAGCCGGCCAGCGGGGCAAGGGGGCTGAACGAGGCTGCCGAGGGTGGGGCTGAGTCAGGGCGCCTCAGAGGCCAGGGTAGAGTGTGGATTTCAGTCTGTGCGGTGGAAGCAGTGGAGGGTGCGGAAGCCGGTTGGCCCAGCGATCTGATTTCATTTCCGCAGGACCTGTTTGTCCGGTAGGAAGCACACAGAAGGGGAGGGTTGAGAGGTTAGAGGTGAGCGGTGGGAGGGAATTCATGGCGTGGGGGTTGCAATCCAGGCTGGAGCTGGTGCCTACAGAGGCTGTGCGTGAATGAGACAAGGGGGACCCTTCTCAGCAGGGCTAGCCATGCGTGCTCACAGCTTGGCAGGTGGAGCACGGGTTTGTTGTTCCCAGCTCTTGGCCAGGCTTGCCTGTGCAGCGTACAACCAACCCGACTGTGTAGGGAAGCCTGGTAAAGACAGCGCAAAGTCGGATGGGCGAGAAACCAGGGGTAGGGATGAGTAGAATGGGTGCCATCTCCCCTCCCCCCAACATCCCAGGTTCCTCTCTGAGATCTGATGTGGAGGGCCAGACTCTGTTCACAGCTTCATCCATTCATCCATCCATTCCACAGATGTGTCCAGAGCGCTTACCCGCTGCTGCCTGCATCCCCGGTGCTAGGCCACTGCCTCTGCTTGGGCACAGCCCGTTGGGGCCCAGGGCCCAGGACAGGAGGAGGACTGCGCTGGAGGCCAACAGGAGCCAGCCCCCCAGGAGCATCGAAGCAGAGACCTGCCGGGGATGGGAGGAGGGGGATGGGCAAGCGTGCTCCCTGCCTCTGCCTGCTGCCTGGCGCCGAGTCCCCGAAGCGTCCCCAGTTGAGTCATTTACTTCAGGACACGCAGCTAATTAAATGCTAGAGCCAGAATTAACATCCAGATGCCCACCTTCACTAAGTACCGGCTAAGTGTCCCCAGCATCAGGAGAGCACCTAGTGATACTGTGACATCCTTTGTGATCAGCTTTGAAAGCTGAATAATCTTCCTCAGGGGTGCCCGACTAAGCACCCAATTGTTGATCCTCCCCATTGTTGATTTTTAATTGTAATGGGGATTTTAACACCTTAGCTTTCATTTTCAAACCTAGCTGTGCTTACAGGTGGCCAGGGGAGCGTGTGCAGATTGTACAAAGAAGCACCTGGGGTGATCATAGATTTGCCTGTTGATTACGGGGATTTTCCAGCAGATGGCAGTGTGGTGTCTGGAAGAAGAAAAGCCCTTCCTTAATTCCTACACAGGTGCTATCTGGGCTGGGGGCTGCCTTTTGGAATTACCCTGAGAGTTTGCTAAAATACACATCGTCAGACCCCACCCCATATCTGCAGAGCCAGAGGTGTGGGTGGAGCTTGAATTTGGCATTTTTCCAAAGCTCCACAGGTATTTCCAAACCCATGTGCTCAGTTCTCGGGAGACTAGGGGTTTGTCCATAGGCACTGGGACACTGAGGATAGGAAAAGACCCTCAAATCCCACCAAGGGAGCCAGCGTCTCTGTCCCCAGGGGCCAGTGGCTGAAGGGCACAGCTCTCACCCTCCAGGCAGCATCAGGCATGTCCTCCAGGGACCAGAAAGTCGTGCAGCTCTGGTTCCAGTTGTCGCCCGGAGGCCAGGAGCAGTAGGTGAGGACACCGAAGGAGAAGGTGGGCGTCATGAACCAGGCAGGGGAGATGAGGCTGAGGGCCGAGAGGCAGGTCAGGGAGAGTCCCAGGGCTGCCCACACGCCGCCCACCATGAGGGCCAGGACCTGGAGGTCAAGGGCAAGATTAGTGGTGGAAAAGGCAGGACAAGGTGTCCCCAGCCAGGGTCAGAGCCCAGGGCATCAACCCCCTTCTGCCTGGCGATGCCAGGGAGGAGCCAACAGCTACAGCAAGGCGAGGGAGTTCCCAAGGCCAGGAAACTGTGTCCATGCTCAGACCTTTGAATGCTACCTACTCCTCCCGCACAGCAGACCATCATCAGCGGTCTGTGCAGGGCCTCTCATGTTTCATTCATTCATTTTTTTGTTCATTCATTCTCTGCCTAGCAACCCTCCTTTGTGCAAAAAAGGCTGCTTCTCCCACACACACGTGCTGGCTTTCCAGCAGCCACCCTCCCCATTAGCTAACTCCTCCCACTCACTAACCATTATGAATTGTTTGATGTGTAGCATTGGTTTTTGTTTCATTTCTGCAGCACTGGGGTTTGAACCCTGGACCTTTGCCAATTTTTTTTTTTTTTTTTTTTTTTTTTGAGACAGGGTCACTCTCAAATTTGTGATACTCCTGTCTCATCTTCCCAAGCAACTGGGATTACAGGCAATGCACCACTACATCCAGTGTGCTATATATCATTGTGCTTGGGGGTGTTATTGCAAAACTGTATATGCGTGTATTTTTCACTGATGTGAATGATATTATTTTGTGTGCTGCATTCTGCTTCCTACTTCGGGCACTAAGCATCATGCTTTTAGGATTGATTGATGTTGCTGTAGGTACATCTCATCTGTCTTCAGTAGGGTTCTCTACATGGCAGACCCCAAAGGCCCCGCCTCCTAATACCATCACCTGGGCATTAGACTTTCACAGTATGAATTTGCAGTCTACAGCAAGAGCCTACCAAGAGCCCAGTCCAGTGTGCAGGGAGCGGCGCGAGGAGGAGATGCCGCTGTAGCTGCGGGCTCCTTCGTTCTGCGGACCACGCAGGGGCCTCGCTGCCGGGAAGCTGTGGCCCGCGGCTCCACGCGGGCGGGCTCAGATTTCTTTACCCCCAGAAAGAAAAACTCGACGCCTTGCATCCTGGCAGTTCGTTTAGGAGTCTGAAATTAGGTATTTCTTTCAAATTTGGACATGGCTAATAGAGGAACAACAAGACTTAATGGGCCAAATACTGGAAATAAAATATGCCAGTTCAAACTAGTACTTCTGGGAGAATCTGCCGTTGGCAAATCAAGCCTAGTGCTTTGTTTCATGAAAGGCCAGTTCATGAATTTCAAGAGAGTACCACTGGGGCTGCTTTTCTAACCCAGACTGTGTACCTTGATGACACAACAGTAAAGTCTGAAATATGGGATACAGCTGGTCAAGAAAGATACCATAGCCTAGCACCAATGTCCTACAGAGGACCACAGGCAGCCATAGTTGTATATGATACCACAAATGAGGAATCTTTTGTAAGAGCAAAAAACTGGGTCAAAGAACTCCAGAAGCAAGCAAGTCCTAACATTGTAATAGCTTTATCAGGAAACAAGGCTGATATAGCAAACAAAAGAGCTGTAGATTTCCAGGAAGCACAGTCCTATGCAGATGACAACAGTTTATTATTCATGGAAACATCAGCTAAAACACCAGTGAATGTAAATGAAATATTCATGGCAATAGCTAAAAAGTTGCCAAAGAATGAACCACAGAATCCAGGAGCAAATTCTGCTAGTGGAAGAGGAGTAGACCTACACAACCAACCAGAAATCAGTGATGTAACTAAATCTCCAATATGAGTGAGCTGGAATCTTCTGCTTCCTGAATGTTAGTAACAGTGGAATTGGAGTATTTAACCAGGCCAGTATGACTCCCAAAAACCAAGAGACTTATAATAGAGTCAAATTTCTAATACAAAATTATTTTAAGTGTTTTGAATTTGATTTTAATAATATGCATGTGTCCCTCTAATGTTTCAGCAATAGAAAGAGAAAATGAGATCTGTGTGTAATTCTTTCACTGGAAAGTTGGAGGTAATCATTTCTTATCATTAGAAATAAAGACAAATGACTATCTGGACCCACAGTTAACCATCCAGTTTCTCCAGACTGGGACAGTAGTCATGGGTGAAAAAATTAGAAATTATTAATTTGGCCTTTCTGAAAAGCATTTTTAGAAGGATATAAATATATTTATGCTTAGCTACGGTATTCAGGCAACCTTTCTTCTCTTATCTAAGGTGTGACATGCCACATTTTAGTAAGTTAACCACAAGAAAACAGTCTCACATTTCCAGGAAGAAAAGGAGTACTAATAGCATCTAAGTTATAGCCCCTCTTACTATTTTTCTAAATGGGGTAAAGAAGTCAGATGTACCCCCACCTTGTTTAGCAATATGAAAACTGAGAAATGCATTTTAATGAATAATGTTCCCTTCATGTGAGCTCTTCAAAAAAAGAAGCAAACCAAGTATCTGAGTTTTTTGTTTTTTGTTTTTTTTTTTCAATCACTGCAGGCCATTACATAGGTCTTGTTTGGGGCAGGGAAAAGGCTTCTGTTCCCTTTGGACATAATACAATCAGTGCACTAAAATTATGTACATTCAAACTTGATTGTTTTAAATTTTATCTTCAGCTGTACTGTAAATAGGGTACTGCATTGTAGCCTCCATGTACGTTTATTATTTGTCTGTAATATTTAAGAGTTGCTTAAAAGTATACAAAATGTACAGATACTACAACAGCTAACTCTTCCCCTCACCCTTGGCAAGAAGGGGCTTCTATTCCTATGTGGCTAGAACCGTAATAAGAAATGTATCTGTAATTTGTAACATAAATATTACAATGTTAGTAACATTTATCTTGCAGCCTTGTTTCCCAAAGTCCACTTTATTTTGATAAGTTCCCTATATTGCACTAATTTCTAGGTATTTTCATTATTGAAATCTACCATGTGTCAGATGATTTAATCTATTTAAGTGTCGAACTCTTAGCAGACCTCTTGTACGTTTTACAGTAATTCAGAATTAGCAACGAAAACAGTTCACCAGTGTTTAGTTTTATATTGAGGTGCTCAGGTTGGAATAAAGTGATAAAAAAGAAAAAAAAAAGAGCCTACCAAGAGTGCATGAATGTGATTAGGTTATCCTTATACCTGTTTTATTTTGGGGTGGCTTTTTTTTTTTTTTTTGGCATTGTTTTAGTGTGTAATAGAATACCCAAGGTTGGGTAATTTATACGGGACAGAAGTGTGTTAGCTCATAGTTCTGGAGGTGGGAAGTCCCAGAGCACGGAATCAGGGCCTCACCTGGCACAGGGCATCACCTGGCGAGACCGAGCAAGTGCTCCAGCTTGGGTCTCCATTCCTCTTCCTGTAAAGCCACTCGTGTGTCTTGGGGAACCCACATTCATGACTTCATTTACCCTTTGTAGTCTTCCAAAAGCTCACCTCTAAAAACCATCAGCATAAGTCAATTAAGTTTCCAACCCAGGAACTACTGAGGGACACAGTCAGGCCACACCAGGATGCTAGCGGTTTAAAGCCAAGTCTTTTCCAAGTGATCACAGAGGTGTTTGGATGACTCGGTTGATGCTTGAAGCTGGGCTAATAGCCTGCTCTGTCCCTGATGGCCGGAAGGGAATCAAGGAGAGCAAGCGTTCTCACCGGCACTCAGAGTAGGAAGCAGTGAACTGCCAACCAAGCCGAGGGCGCGGGCATAGGCTTCCCAGGGCCATTGCTGACGACCTCAGGCTTCACTTTGGCAACTGAAGCGCAGGTAGAACTTTCAAGGTGGCAGGTATCCTGGGCTTGGGGGATGATGAGCCAGCCTACCATTTCCCAGCTGTGGGACCCGGGCAAGTGAACTGATTGCTCTGGGTCTCAGTTTCTCCGTCTGTATAAGAAGATCATAAATGCCAGGGGTCAGGTAAGTTGGGCTCAATCACTGAGCAGGGGAATGTGGTAGAAAGCAGTACAGGGGCCTGGATCTCCCCTTCCCTGACATGTGAGCTTGGGGACACCCGAGGTCTCTGGAAACTGAGGGTGGAGGCTGCTGTGTCACCGTGGAAGGGGTAAAATGCATCTATGTTGCAAGTGGCAGGGCAGAGATGAGCCCAGGGAGGGTCATGTTGCTTTTTACTCTGGAATTAGAAAAACCTGCCTGGCTGCTTGCCAGAAAGTGAGATTCAGTCCACTGGGTGAGGGAGGACCCCACCACCACCACCACACACACACACCCAAATCAGCCTCTCCCAGGAGTATAATTCCAGCCAGGAAGCTGAGGGGAGCTAGGTCCACTGACACCGGTGATTTCACCTGTCTGGCTGCACCAGGGGCTTTCTGGGTGTTTCTGACCTTGAATGGAATTCTGTTCTCCAGATAATGCTCAATGTCACCTGGGAAAATCACACTGACTGACCAAGTGCCCAGAAACCTAAATGAGGCATTATAACCCGAAACCACATCCAGCCGGACTCCAACGAGCTGGAATCCAGCCAGGAAAGCTTGAAATGGACTGAATACTTTTCTCCTTGGACTCCACACTTAACTTTTTCTTCCTTTGTTCTTTTTTCTTCAATACTAGGGTTTGAAACCAAGGCCTTGGCACTGAGCTATGTTCCTAGCCCTTTACTCATTTTTTAACATTGTGAGGCAGGGTCTTAGTAAGTAGTCACTAAGTTGTTCCAGCTGGACTCAAACTTGTGATCCTCCTGCCTCAGCCTCCCAGAGGGTTGGGATTCCAGGCATATCCCACCATGCCTAGATCAGGCTTAACTTTTAATAGCAGTCACTATTTCTTGAACATGCGCCAAGCTCCTTTCTAAAGCTTGCCCTGTCTCATTTCATGTAAATCTCATGGCCACCTGATGAAATAAGTGTTGTTCTCATCAGTCCCATTGTATAGGTGACAAAATTGAGGCTCAGAAAGTGACTACGAAGCTGGGACTTCAACTTAGGGACTCAGCCTCCTAACCTTCAGTCCTAAGCCCAAAGTGATTTAAGGGTTAAGGTCCAAATACACCAGGGGCTTCCCAGGGCATGGTCAAGTCTCCCAAAACTCTGGCCAGGGAATAAATGAAGCCAGGGGAGTTAAGTCAACTCCAAAAGAATCTCAGGAGGAGAACTGGGGTTGGGAGTTCAGAGGCAGCTCTTAGGATTTGATATATCAAGCTAAGCATCCCCCCCCTCCGCAATGCCGGTTTCCATGTCCTCAACTGTAATGTGTTTATTATCATTTATTCATTCAACTTTTATGTGCCCAGCCCAAAGTCATCCCTGCCCTCTGCCCCCAGAGTCTAGTAGTGAATACAACATACTCCCTTTTTTCAAGGAGCTTCGAGTTCTGTAGGCACAACAGACAAGCAAGATATAATAATATGGTGTGTATTTCCATCCATCTGTCCACCCATCCACTTGTCCATTCACACATCCATCTGTCCACCCATCCATCCATTCATCCAACTGTACTTATTAAACATCTACTACGTCCCATGAGCTAATCTAGGTGCTAAGGATTCGACACTGAGGAAAACAGATCACCTGCCCTCCTGGGGAGGAGAGACAGTAAGGAATGAGTGTGTAATACCTGAGACGGACATGAATAAGCAAGTACCTTAGAGAGAAACGAAGCATTGAAGGCAGATGCCAGGTGCCCAGGGATGGTCGTGGAAAACCCTCTGAGAAGTGAACTTTGAACAGAGGGCTGAAGAAGGTGAAGCAGAGTCATGTGGACACCTGGGGGAGGAAAATTCCAGGAAGACAGAGGGGCAGGAGCAAAGGTCCTGCAGTGAGTGTGTGCGTGGCACAAGGGGCTCATGTGACAGAGAGGGAAGAGGGCAGTGAGCATGGTGGGCTTGCCGGCAGTGACAAGTGTCAGCTTTTAATTCAGAGTGATGGGGAGTCAGGAGACAGTCTTGAGTGGGGTAGAGCATGACTCTTCTGTTATTTTGGGGTTTTTTTTGTTTGTTTTTTGTCTTTGTGAGGCAGGGTCTCACCGTGTAGTTCAGGCTGGCCTTGAGCTCACTTTGTAGCCCAAGCTGGTCTCGAACTCACAACGATCTTCCTGCTTCGGCCTCCCGAGTTCTGGGATTACAGGCGTGTGCCACCACGCCCAGTGCAGCTCTTATGTTTTTAATGCCCCTCCAGCTGCTGGGTGGTGACTGGGGAAAGGGAAGGCAAGGGAGGGGCAGTGAGAAGTGAGTCCCGGGCAGGCAAGACCTGGGAGTCAGGCAGGCAGAGGGAGGTCAAAGAGTGCTCAGATTCTGCATCTACTCTGAAGGCAAAATGTCAGACTGGACTTGCGGGTGGAGCAGTCCCGGGGATGAGAGGAAGACAGGAGGCAAAGGTGCCCCCGTGGCTTGTGAGCTGGGTGCCTGGAGCAGTGGAGATGACACTGGGTGAGACCGATAACCCGCAGGAAAGATGAGCAGAGGATGCTGCGAGGGAAGCTGCAGCTCCTGGATGAACACATGTGCGCAGGCCCAGCTCCGCCCCCAGGCAGTGCAGGAGGCGTGCGCAGAGGAAGGGCCTCAGCCTGGGGTGCCCTAAGGTCCAAACTGAGTTCTGAGGATGGCCAGCTGGGCCCGGGGGAGGCTTTTCACCTGCATTCCTTGTCTCACTCTCCCAGCCCCTCAGCCAGGCAAGTCCAAGTTCTGGATCTATTCCAAGCAGGTTGGCTGTGTCATCTGGGAAAAATTGTACAACAGCTCTGAGCCTCAGTTTCCCTGTTTCAAAAAAAAAAAAAAAGGCCATGCCTTGGACTAGTGGGACTTAACCTTTTGAAAATATGATTTAAAGTTATGGATGTAGCTGGGGGTGCTGGCATATGGCTATAACCCCAGCACTCTAGGAAGCTGAGGCAGGAGGATTGCTAATTTAAGCTCAGCCTGGGCAATTTAGTGACTTAGAAAGATCCTATCTCAAAAGGGGAAAAAAAAAGAGCTGAGTATGTAGCTCAGTGCAAAGGCCCTCGGTTCAATCCCCAGTATGAAAGAGAGAGAGAAAAAATTGCCCCATGCAAGCCTGAACACACACACACACATACACACACAGATATGACAGCAGGAGTGCTGGGCCCCTGAGGCCCATTCTGTCCCCTGGACCATGGCTGGGTCCTCCCCCCGGTTTCTCTGCCTCACCTCGATAGCTCTTCCCTCCTGGAGCAGCACACTTCAGGTGAAAACCCTCCTGCACAGCTCTCCTGTTTAAGCTTATGCTTCCGGCACAAGTCTGTGATCCCTAGAAGGTCTCTTTCCCTTTGAGGGAAATGTGCAGGTTGGGGAACAAAGCCCAGGCACGTGACAGATCTGTTTTCCTTCTCTGTTCCTTAAACCAACAGCCTTGAGCTGCAGGTGGCTCAGTGGGCTGGGCCAAGAGGGAAAAACCAGTCCCAGATGGGGATGGAGTAAGAAGGGCAGGGTGTTTCCTGGGTAGGGAAGGCGTAAAGAGGGAGTAACTGGCCTAGCATTATACACAGGTGCAGGAAACCTGGCCACTGTGGTCTCTTTCTGCCCTCCTAATTCTACTGCAGGGAGCTGCAGTAGAATTATGTATTTTCCTGTATTTCTCCCAGGGCCTTCCTATGAGCTGTGAGCTTCCCAGAATGAGGCACTGTCTTAAGTATCTTTATCCTGAGCATCGAGCACCTGACTTGGCAGAGTGTGTGCTTCTACTGTAGCAACTTTTGCTCTTCATAACAGAGGGGCAACTCATACTGGCTCAAGTAGACATGACAGTGTATTGGCTCCCATAACTGGATCTCCCTCCTTCTCTTCTCTCCCCTTCTCCTGTTCTCTCTGCTGAGTTCTCTCAGGCTGATTCTAACAGTGCCTCTGATAGCCCCCAAGCTCACGTTCTCAGACTGAGCAAGCCCAAAGTAAAGAAAGCTCTTTTACTCTGTTGTTCCATATTTGCAACAAGAGTTACACTGATTCAGTCTCACTGAACAAGATGCATTCTCATTGGACAAACTTAGGTCACATGTCCAACTGTGAGCCAGTCACTGTGGCCAAGGAGACAGGCTGCTCTAATTGGCCGGATCTACTTCGTGTATCTTGGGGTTGGGGCTAAGGTTTGAACTCGGGGTTAGAGCAGGAATGTCATGAGGTCCATGCACCTAGAACCCCTTGGACTGAGGGTGAAGGGTGGGTTTCCAGGAATAAAACTGAGGTGCTGTGTGCAGAGGAGGGATGGACCCATTGCTGGTGAGAATACGAGTGTCAGCCCAGTGCTCAGGAAACACTGGCACTGCTAGAAGCAGGGGGGTCCAAGATAGATGTAGAAAACCTGAGTGAAGCTGGAAACACAGGCTCAGGTCCCTGTTCTACCACCTGCCCACAGTGTGACCTTCGTTACAGCACCACTGCCTCTCTGGGCCTTAGTTTCTCCACCTCTAAAATGGGAGCATCTGAAGTAGCTGGTTGCCAGGGATGCCCCAACTCTGTTTGTTTTTTTAAAACAGGATCTCCTCAGGCTAGCCTACTATGTAGCCCAGGTTGGGCTTGAACTCGTGGCAATCTTCCGATCTCATAGGTACTCATAGGTGTGCACCACCACACCCAGCTTCAATTTTTTTTTTTTTTTGTCTTTTTGAGACAGGGTCTCGATATGCAGTTCAGGCCAGCCTTGACCTCACTTTGTAGCCCAGGTTGGTCTCGAACTCACAACGATCCCCCTGGCTCAGCCTCCCTAGTTCTGGGATTACAGGCACGTGCCACACGCCCAGTGCCAGGTTCATTTATTAATTAATTTTTTTTCTTTCAATCAACATTTGCTGAAAGGCTTTGGGGGAACCTGGTTCCCACTCCTGAGGTATAGACCCGCATCAGCTTTGATGATGCACCTTTTTCAGGTATGGTCCTTCCAGGCCATCCGCAGTGTTGGCCACTGTCCAGCATCCACTGCCTCCCACTGCAGGGACGTGGCCTGTGTCATACTCATGGCTTCCAACACCCGTAGCTGCTGCCCAAGCTGACCTGGCCCGAGCCTTTTAGGGCAGCAGCTTTGGGTCCTTCTTTGCTCTCTCAGGTGAGGTTTTGAGCAGGAAGGGCTTCCCTGTGGCTGCCTGCGACACAGTGGCCCAATCCAGATGCAAGGAACAACTGGGTCTGACCATGACCAGTGCAGACACGAGGCAGGAGGTGCCGAAGATGACATCCTTGCCCTTGTGCCTAAAGTGATCACCTTCCTGTGGCTTCTCTGGAGACACCCTGAGTGAAGGAACTCCCAGCTGGGTTTTCTTGAGACTCTGTGGCCAGCCCTGTAGGGCATGTCTTGTATTTGCTCTCTCTTCTTCCCTGCTTTCAAGTCCCTTGCTGGGCTGAGATTATATTCCCAGTGAAGCATTAATTACTACGGAAGAGTTGTCTCTGGCTCTGTTTTCTAGGGGAGCCAGACTGAGCTACTTGCTGTGTGACCATAAGCAATTTACCTCACCTCTCTGAGTTTTAGATTTTTCATCTGTAAAAAAGGAGAAAATAATAGATCATCTCTCATAGGAGTGTTGTGGCATTTAATAAGACAGCAAGGCCAAATACTTGGCTTACTAAATGATAGTTTCATTAGTACTATTATTGTCAGCCAGGCACTGGGTCAGATCATATGAAAACATTTATTCAACACTGAATTCCTTGAAGGTTTACTGAGTGTGAGCTCTGCTTGGTGCTGTGCGAGTCTCTGCTCTCAGGGGACTCAGTCTAGCAGTTGGACAGGGAGGAAATGGGTATCTGTACCAGGTGACCCCTGAATAGCAGGACTTCTGCATCTCCTCCCGCCCAGCTGGTAGTCAGGGAGGGCTTCTGGGAGGAAGTGATGTTAAAGTTAAGACCCAAGGGACATGTAGTCATTACCCAGATGGTAGCCAGGCAGAGGGTGGAGTATCCCTCGCTGGGGCTGGCCTGAATAAAGGTCAGGTATTGAGGGGAAACATGTCAAAGAACACGCTGGTTCTCACTCTCAAGAAGCAGGTAGAGTTGGATGTAATCCCAGCACTCAGGAGGCAGAGGCAGGAGGATTGTTGCAAGTTTGAGACCAGCCTGGGCTACATAGCAAGACCAAATAAAAAGAAGAAAGAAAGAAAGAAAGAAAGAAAGGAAGGAAGGAAGGAAGGAAGGAAGGAAGGAAGGAAGGAAGGAAGGAAGAAAGAAAGAAAGAAAGAAAGAAGAAAGAAAGAAAGAAAGAAAGAGAAAGAAAGAAGAAAGAAAGAAAGAAAAAGAAAGGAAAGAAAGAAAGAGAGAGAGAGAGAGAGAGAGAGAGAGAGAGAGAGAGAAAGAAAGAGGTAAATTACAAGACATAATGGATAAAAATTCCACCCCCAGGAATGACGAGAGTCTGCGGGGTCCAGAGCTACAGTATCCAGTCCAGTAGCCATGGCCCCATGGGGTTATTTATATTTAAATCAATTAACACTAAATACAATGTGAAATCCAGTCCCTCAGCTTCCCGGCCACATCTTCGGTGTTCAGTGGTCACCTGAGCCAGAAATGCTGCTACTCAGAGCTGCCAGACAGGCGGGCCACATGCAGCCTGATCTGGACAGTCTTCCTGCAGGAGGAGGCAGAAGAAGGCAGGGATAGTTCTTGGAAAGTCCCTGGGTGGCGCTGTCCTGTAACCTCAGGAGCAGAAAGCCTGGGAGTAGTGGTGGGGGTGTCCATTCTGGGACCAGTGCTGAACCTGACATCTCTTTGGGGCAGGGTACAGTCTTCCGGTGTGAGCTGCCTGGCAGCTTCTCACCTGGGCAGGAGGATACAGGAATGAAGGCAAGCCAGCCAGCGAGGCAAGGCTGAGCCAGGAAGTCCCGCCCCTCTGGGGCCAGAAGTACGCTGGGAGTTGTAGTTTGGAACTTCTGGACTTGCCCCCATCCCCCTCCTCAAAGGTTGACAGCCCTTGAACAGTAGCCACCCAGCAGAATGCGGTCACCACTGGGGTCACATCGGGGTTAGGGGGTCTCCGAAGAGGGTGGTGTCAAGAGAGGATGGAGGTGAGGTAGCAGCGACAAGATTAAACTGGCTGGGGAGCTGAGAAACATGGAGAATTCTGTTAAACAGACTCTCTGCCTTGCATTCTGGTTCTCGGGGAGGTTTCTGTGAGCGGGAGGAGAGGTGGCTGCCAAGGGTTGGCCTTCATCCATTCAGCCTGTAGAGAGCACTATGGTGTGCCCAGCCCTGCACAGGCCCTGGGGACCAGGCGTGAGTATGGCCTATCCAGGAGGCTCTCTACAAGCATGAGCCGATAATCATCTGCTGCTCCCCATGTAATATACTGCTTAAACGTGGATTTTGAAAAATGTCAACTTTTTTTTCCCAGTACTGGGGATTGAATCCAGGACCCTTAGCACTGAACTACATACTCAGCCCTCTCCCACCCTTTATTTTTTCAGCGAGACAATGTCTCACTAAGTTTCCCAGGCTGGACTCAAATGTGTGCTCCTCCTGCCTCAGCTTCCCTAAGTACTGGCATTTTATAGGCATGCGACGCCATGCCTGGTGAGTTTAACTTTCATTGCAATCATGCAGCGTTTCCTGCCTCAGACCCCACTCCGTGGGAAGAGGGGTTCTATGTGAAGTCACAGAAATTTGTCCTGTTGATGATTGTGCTCATGAGGTCCAGATGCCCAAGAATAGCTAAGGCTTGGCCTCGCTACTCTCCATTTCTGGCTTCTGTCACTGTGAGCGAGTCCCTGGGGCAGCCTCGGCAGCTCCCTAATGTAACGGGGTCCCGATGGTGATCCCGATGGTGATCCCACAGAAATTGCTGTGGTAAGGGTCAAGTGGGCTGCCCTTCTTACATGCACCAACCTCGCCAGGACGAGGCAGAAGAGTGCCCTGACAGTCCTCCGGAAGCCACGCCACATGGTGTTCCTGTCTTTGTCTCTTCAACTTTATTGTGGTCTAATTTACAGTAAAGGCACAAGTGATGTCTGGTCCTTCAGTTATTCATTCTCTGTCATTTCCCTTAGGAGCGCACATCATGAATGTAATCCAGTTTCTCGTGCAATTGTTTAAATTTTTGTTTAAATTCTATATATATATATATTTAAATTATACATACATAAATTTATATATATGAATAAGAATGACTGAACAGGCATTCCTCCTCCAGGGGCAACTTCCTGCGAGTCTCTCAAATTGTCCACAAGTCTCTAGATTCGCACGCCCCCTCCCACACCACCCGAAGGCAGCGGGTTTCCTGCATAGCGCGCGCCCCCAAAGAGCTGGGTGCAGCCGCCCAGCCCGCCACGAGGGGCGCGAGAGACCTCGCTGGCTCCAGCGTTCCAAAGGATTCCCTGTACCCGCCCTAGCGGAGCGCCCGCGGGATTCCGGGCTGCCCGAGGCCCTG